GTGTTTCTTCAAAAAATTTGATGACCCAGTCCTCATCTTCAAGGGGGCTTACAATCACAAACTGTCCCCCGAATCCACTCTCTCTTTATTCCTTTTAGTAATAGAACTTCCTCGATTTTAGAGGAGGGGGGACGCCTGGCCCCCAGCTGGAAAGCACATTCCCCAGGAACCCTTGCAGCCAGGTGTGGCCATGTGACTATGTTCGAGTCAATGGGATCCCAGAAAACATGAGAGAAAGTTGGAGGTCATCTCCTTAAACATAAGCTACTTGCCCTAACTTCCTCCTTTCCCTTTCTGTTAGCTGGAACTTGGAAATGGAGGCAAACAAGGTCTTCCCATGTAGGTGAGGACACCCCTAGGAGGCAGAGGAACAACAAGATGGAAAGAATCTAAGGCCCCAGATGACCTGATGGAGCCCAGAAAGAGAATTACTACCCACCCCTACAAGACTCTCTTTGCACTGTGTTTAATTTTTTTTTTTTTAAGATTTTATTTATTTGACAGTGAGAGATACAGCGAGAGAGGGAACACAAGCAGGGGGAGTGGGAGAGGGAGAAGCAGGCTTCCTGCCAAGCAGGGAGCCCAATGCGGGGCTCCGTCCCAGGACCCTGGGATCATGACCTGAGCCGAAGGCAGACGCTTAATGACTGAGCCACCCAGGCGCCCCTGCACTGTGTTTAATTTTAACCAAAGATTTGAGTCCACATGAAATCTGTGACATGCATTAAATGGAATGACACACTAAAAAAGCTTGTTACAAGCATTCCGTAAAGCCCAAAGCCATGCAACTGGTACTGTTAAACTATGTGCAGCAAGGCACATTCAGAAATTTCCCAACCTCGTGCAAATAGAAAAAGGCACCCACTCTGACAGACAAACTAGAAGGTGCACTGTCCTCCAACTTGGGGAACACGGCTACGCTGGATTTCAGCCCCTGAAGTCCTGAGGGATTCTCGTGCCCTCAGCCAGGCACAGCTGCACAACCAACCACATACAGTGGTATATGTCTAAATGCAAAAAGGGGAGGGGGGGGGAGAGGTCATGAATTTTCTCTAAATGAATTTTATATAAAGTGAATAGTCAGGCACTGAGGACGTTTTCTATTTAAAGAAATTCGCTATGAACTTCTTTGCAGAGACTGCTTGCCTAATGGAGTTAGTCACCACGAACTCCAGATTCGTGATTTGGTCTAAGCACGATCTGGCCGGAGAAATCAGATAAATTATAGATGCCGTTAATAAATTATAGAGTACTCAAAGGCAGAAGAGGAAAGAAAAAGTGACATGTGAAGGTGAATGGGATGGACTCTGGGAGTTTACTTAAAGTGGTCTCCCCCTGCACCTAATCCTGGCCAGGATCCGCCCGCCCGTGGTTGTCATTTAATTAACTGCAGATGCTCCTGGGGATAGGAAATCAACTCTTGTCCAATTTTAAGTTAATGAACGAAGGGACGAGGAACAACCCGGAGAAGCTTCGCAGAGTTTAGGCAAAAGACCGACCATTAAAGAACAAATGGACGGGACTCAGCCGCTTTCTCGCCCCGCCCCCGTTGCCCGGACAACCGCGCCGGCGTCAGGGCTGAGCCCGGGGTGCGCGCGCATGCGCCTCGGAGGCAGCCATGGGCCCCTAGCTCCCAGCTAGGCTGTTCCCGCCGCCGCCGCCGGGACCCTGGCGCAGCCGGGAAGTGGGATCGCAGGGGCCCAGGAGAGAGAAGCCGCTCGTCTGGGCGCCCCCCTGGTGCTGAGCACCCTTCGGAGAGCTCTGGAGAAGACCCCTGCCTTCCAAGCCAGCCCGTTCCCTCAAAGCTGTGAGACCGTGGTCCAGTTCGGTGACCCCCTCCAGCCTCAGTTTCCCCATTTGTAGAATGTGGGTTCACAGCCCCTATCTCAGAAGCTGAGAGCAAGTCGGGCTCCGTGGGGAACGCTCGCGAGGCCTTTGTGGCGGGAGTGATGGGGTGAAGGCCCCTCCCCAAACAGCCCTAGGATGTGGGTGTCATCATTCTCCCCATTTTACAGGGAAGGAAACTGAGGCGCAGAAAAGTGAAGAGACCCGCCCAAGGAATTCAGCTAGTGTCTGGCAGGCCTAGGAGGGGAAGATGCCCACCTTAGGGTAACCCCCACTAGAGAATCTGGGGGTGGGGTGAGCCTTTGTGATTTGGCAGGGGTGGGGAGAAGAGCCGGAAGAAGCAGCGCAGAATGCACTGGACACCATCTGGACCATAATCAGGATGGGGAAAGTGTTGGATTTAGGAGCCCAAAGATGCTGACCTTTGAAACAGTGCTTTGCTGACAAATCCTTCAGCCCTCTTGGCACCCCCACCATGGTCAAGATAGCCCACCTGAGCTTCCAACCTGAGCTCCCGTCCTGGGTTTTGTGCCTCGACTGCAGAGTTTCTGAACATCAGCACTAGTGGTATTTGGGGCCAGATCATTCTTTGAGGGGGTGGGGATGGGGCTGCCCTGTGCACTGTAAGCTGTTCGTGTTCAGCAGCATATCCAGCCTCTACTCACTAGATGCCATAAATGCTACAACTCTCAAGACGTCACAACCAAAAGTATCCCCAGACGCTGCCACATGTCCCCTGGGCGGCAAGAACCCAGTTGAGAACCGCTGACCAGAGCCAAAAATTAAAAGCAGATATATTTGTTAGTTTTCACTAAATAGATTTTAAATGCTCTCACCATTGTTTTGTGCTCCAAAGTATATGCTATTTTAATTCTCTCTCTAAATGATATGCAGATTCTTAAAATAGCCAGATTTTCTGGAAACTAGTCCAATTAGAGTTTATGAAACAATAGATGATTGTCATGGACAGTTCAGCTGAGCGGACCAAGCACTGGCCAGAATTGGAAACCTTGGGTCTGTCCCCATTTCTGCCATTACAGGCCCTATGGCTTTGTCACTTAACCTCCTCGGACTCATTTTTCCCCTCTGTCAGATGAAAATAGTGAGATGAGGGCACCTGGGTGGCTCAGTTGGCTGGGCGACTGCCTTCGGCTCAGGTCATGATCCTGGAGTCCCTGGATCGAGTCCCGCATCGGGCTCCCTGCTCGGCAGGGAGTCTGCTTCTCCCTCTGACCCTCCCCCCTCTCATGTGTTCTCTCTCTCTCATTCTCTCTCTCTCAAATAAATAAATAAAATCTTAAAAAAAAAAAAAGAAAATAGTGAGATGATTTCTAAGGACCTGGAAGTGCTCAGATTTTTTTTTTTCTTAAGATTTTATCTATTTGAGAGAGAACACAAGAGTGTGTGAGCTGGGGGGAGGGGCAGAGAGACAAGCAGACTCCCTGCTGAGTGTGGAGCCTGACCCAGAGCACAATCCCAGGACCCAAGATTATGACTTGAGCTGAAATCAAGAGTCGGATGCTTAACCAGTTAAGCCACAGAGGCGCCCCCGGAGGAAGTGCTCAGATTCTGACAAGATCCCCACTCCACCCCCCCCCACCCCCCACCCCTCCCCTTCCCTTGGAGTTATTAAAGCCACCAGCCTCCCTCCCCTACCGGTGTCCTCTTCACCTCCAAATGTCTTTTGTTACTTCTCTCAGCCTCCCCTCCTGGCCTGGTCCCTCAGACACATCTTTCAGAGTCAGTTTTTCCAGGCTGTTGCTACCACTCAGACAAATTCATTATTATTCCTGATTCTAACAAGTAAATTATGGTGGTGTTTAACACAGCAGTGGCAGGGGCTTGTTAATGGGAAATTGCGGTATTTAAGCACAAGACACCCTGGTGTTTCCGTGAGGAAAAATAAGATGAAATTAAACACCGGCCTTGTAAAATGCTCCATGATGGGCGCCTGGGTGGCTCAGTTGGTTGAGCGACTGCCTTCGGCTCAGGTCATGATCCTGGAGTCCCGGAATCGAGTCCCGCATCGGGCTCCCTGCTCAGCAGGGAGTCTGCTTCTCCCTCTCCCGCTCCCCCTCTTGTGCTCTTTCTCTCTCTCACTCTCTCTCTCAAATAAATAAATAAAAATCTTTAAAAAAATAAAATAAAATAAAATAAAATGCTCCATGATGTGGTGCTAAATTATAGGAATGTCCCAAGCATCCACATAAATTATTCTGACCTAGCTAGGATTCATACAAAAAGCCATAGATCATCTCTTTAGTTAATTCTCTTCAGCACCCACCTACCTTTCCATGTACTCTGCAGTGGCCGGGTTGGGTAATGGGTCAGAAGATTCTACCTTCTCTCCTCAAAGAACAGGAACCTGAAATAAGGAATTGAGATCCTGTTCCTAGAAAATGGTCCACCCAGGACAATGCAACCTGAACCCACCAGAATGTAAGCTCAAGAGAAAAGAAAACTGATTTGCATATCGCTTCACTCCCAGTGCTTAGAACAATGTTAGACACCTAGTAGCACTCAATAAATACCTGTCGAATGAAGGAAGGAACAAAGAGTACCTGGCTTATTTGGGTAAGTAATGAATAAAGGTGATCTAAACATTTTTGCTTGGGGTTTGAAATTATGTTCTAGAAAGTATCAGTGTACTAGACATTTCCCTCTCTTTTCACCCCTTCCCCTCATTTCATACCTTTTTTCTGTCTGTTACCCTCACCAGTATTCATTTGACAAAGCATCTCCTGCCTTATTGGGTCCGTTCTGTGTGAGCAGCGCCTTTCTGGAGGGCTGTATTTACATGTGCTGTTGGTGGCCAGAGAAGGGATTTATTACACGGGGCTGGGGGTGGGGGTGGAGGTGGGGGGCAGTTCTGCGGTCCCTAAACCTGATTCATGCACCCCGCCCTCACCATGTTGCACCTGGTCTTATCCCAGGAGTTTGTTCCGTATGTTCGTGGTTTTCTGTTTGAAAACATCACCGTAACGCAGACAACTCAAAACAGGTGGACGCAATGAAGAAATGTCATTTGGAAATGGAACTTCACAGGCAAACTTCATACTGCCATTTTCTATCCCAAGGGGTCCGATCCTGTTTCACAGCATCTTCATGTTTTTATTAGAATCCATCACAGAAGCAATCAAGGGACAGACTTCCTCTTAAAAATGGTGAATAACCCGACTGACGTTGGACAACAAAGATGGCTGCAGGAACCAGCAATTACTGGGAAGATCTCAGGAAACAAGCTCGACAGCTGGAAAATGAACTTGACCTGAAACTAGTTTCCTTCAGTAAACTATGTACAAGTTACAGTCATAGCAGTGCCCGAGATGGAAGACGCGACAGCTCTGACACAACACCCCTTTTAAATGGATCAAGCCAAGACAGAATGTTTGAAACAATGGCAATTGAGATTGAACAGCTTTTGGCAAGGCTTACAGGAGTAAATGATAAAATGGCAGAATATACCAACAGTGCAGGTGTCCCATCTTTGAATGCAGCACTGATGCATACATTACAGAGACATAGAGATATATTGCAGGATTATACACATGAATTCCATAAAACCAAAGCAAACTTCGTGGCAATACGGGAAAGGGAGAATCTCATGGGATCAGTACGAAAGGATATTGAGTCATATAAAAGTGGGTCTGGAGTAAACAACAGAAGAACTGAACTATTTTTGAAAGAACATGACCACCTTCGAAACTCAGATCGTCTGATAGAAGAGACAATAAGCATTGCTATGGCAACAAAAGAAAATATGACTTCCCAGAGAGGAATGTTGAAGTCGATTCAGAGCAAAATGAATACTTTGGCCAATCATTTTCCTGCTGTGAACAGCCTGATCCAGCGGATCAATCTGAGGAAGCGGCGAGACTCCCTCATCCTGGGCGGTGTCATTGGCGTCTGTACCATCCTGTTGCTGCTGTATGCTTTCCATTGATGGAACATCTCCGGGGACTCTGGACAGCCACCACTTTCCCACCCTGATCTGGAATAAGGAAAAGTAGGAAGGAGAAGTTGATTGTCCTGATGATTAGCCTCACCAACAGGATTAATTCACGACTGATAGCCCTGGACTCTGTCACGTGGTCAGATTGAGCTGAAGCCACAGTTTTTCTGTGCTCTCTTTTCTAACACACATTTCCTTCTGTTTTTAGTTTAAAAAAAAAAAGTTTTCAGTTGCTTTTGTCCTCCCAGGAGGTAAGTAAACCAATCAGAAACAGAGTTTCTGTGCTTCAGTAATTGTGTTGAAGGCTGATGACAAGCCAGGTCTTAGAGCTGGACTCCTCAGAAAACCAGGTTTCTCTGTATCCAAAGACTGCTTTCCTTTTAGCCCCCAGATTGGGTTGTGAATAAAAATAGTTCTTGTCCTTTTATTTTACACTCATGATGAGAAATCACAAGTCATTTCTTGATAAGCTGTGCTATAAATTTCTACTCTGCATCCCTGTTTTGGTATTCAAGGAAAATTACATTTTTCACAGATTCTTTGAGATGCCAACAGGTCAACTTCAACACAGTTGAGGTTGTCTGAAACAGAAGACAAACACTGCAAAAAACCTTTTTTTTCTTCTTCTTCTTTTTGTAAATTGTATGCACACTAGGGTTGACTGTATTACTGGAAAAGCATCAAGAATAACAGGCTTTTTTTGTCAGTCATTGTTTTGATTTTTTGTTTATATCTTCCATTGGATTAATATTTCCTACTACAAGTAAATGAAATTTCGGTTCTACCATGATAAAAGTAACTAATAGCCAGTGTCTGTCATTGCCCCCACCAATTCCTCATCATGTCAGGATTAACCCTGAATGAGGGGACTGCTCAGTTTTCAGTGATATCTATTCAACAAGCCACATGTAAAAAGACATTGATTTGCGGGGTCACCATCCAGATAATTCCATTTATAAATGCTCCATGATCTAGGAGCAAAAGTTTGAGAACTACTGCCTGATGTATTAGGAATTCTGAGTTTTACGAAGATCTATTTACTCCAAATCTGTTTTTTCCAAACATCCAGAGAATGGTTTTACTGTTGAAGGTGCATGTGACAGAATCTCTCTCTGCACCTGTCTTCTATCATCTGGACAGTGACAAAATTTTAAACTACCCACCAGAATTCTTTTCAGGTTTAACCATTTCTCCGTTTCTGTAAATGTATGACTTGTCTAACTGAACTACCACAAATAGCTTGAAGACTTCAACATCTGCACTCCTCACCAAGTAAAAAGGTTGCTCTTCACCATTGGAATTGACTCTGGTACTTACAGTATTGGCTTCAGACTGTGCCACAGGGAATAAAATGATATTAGCATGTAGTTCTTAACTGCATTACAGTGTGTAGGTGATGACATTCAGATGAACTTAATACACAGGCTGATGGCTATGCTAACCGCTGGTCTGGTACAGAAACTGAGAGGTTTTTCCTTCTGGTGTCTAAGTTTTATTATGTCCTGGGTATGAAAGGCATTTGATACCTTTTTTTCTTAACTATGGGGTTTATTTTTCTAAATATGGGTTGATCGATCAGTTACTTGATTGGGGATGCCCTTAAAAGAAAGTAAGTTTTCCCAACGTGACCCTTAAAGGATTAGAGAAGTTCATTTATTAAATTCTCTGTTGGGAGAACAAAACTTCTCTCCCCTGACACTTTATTATTATCTTTGATTTTTCAAAGGGCCTTGATTGGTGGTTGTGCCTCAGCTAGAATTTATGGGACTTTCGTTGCTGTATGGTTGGCATTTATAAAATTTGAAGTATCATAAATAAAGTTATTTATTTAATTATTTTAAAAATGGTGAATAATAGTCATTTCTTTTGGACAACGATTTCTTAAGGAGAAGAACCATCTGTAGTAAAAATCTGTATTTGGCTCAGGGGGTGATACAGGTAGGGGGACTCCAACCCTTTCATATTTCAGTTATCTGAGCATAATGGTTATATCAAGCCTAACTCCCACACATTTTCAAAAAATTTTAGTTTGTCCTAATCGTAGTCTTAAAGGTGATATCCTGGATACAATTCTTTTCTTTGGGGCCATTTCTCCTACAGACCAATGTTTACTATCATGAATTGAAGCAGTGACTCAACCTCAAGGTGTCCTCGGTGCAGAAGACCAAAAGTTAGAAGTACTGGTCTTCTCATTTAAATTTCAATAAACATCAGTTAATTTATACAATGCGAAGGGGCGCCTGGGTGGCTCAGTGGGTTAAGCATCTGCCTTTGGCTCAGGTCATGATCCTGGGGTCCTGGGATCGAGCCCCACATCAGGCTCCCTGCTCAGTGGGGAGTCTGCTTCTCCCTCTGCCCCCTCCCCCTGCTTGTGCTCTCTCTCTTTCTCAAATAAATAAATAAAAGTATAAAAAAAATTTTTTTAAAAATTTACACAATGCGAAAGTCAGGAGGGAGCCTATTTGCTAAGCCAAAGACTTCCAGTTCAGCATCCATGGAATCTAGATGAAGGACCGGGCATCATGCTAAATGCCTTCCCAAAGTTATCCTGTGAAACCTCTCCAACCATTTAAGGGTCATTAGTTCCATCTTTGGGTAATGAAATTGAGCCATACAGTAGTTAACAACTTGCCCCAGGTCCCCAAACTAAGAAGTCCTCTGTGCCCCTTGACCTTAGAAATAGGGCCAGTGGGTGCCAAAAGCAGGGAAATGGGCTTCAGCTTTATGTCAAGAACTTCCTGATGCTTAGAGCCTTCCTCCTCTTCTGTCATTCTGCTGTTGTCCCTAAAAGCTGCACCATGATTCTGGAATGCCCTTCCCAGCCCACAGCATTCTCTTTTCTTACTCAAAATGTTTTACAAATACATTCACAGGTCCTCATTACATTCATTTCTTTGGGCAGAGCCAAGATATTCCACTTTACGTTTAAGCAAACAGATGAGGTCCCCTGAGCTAGAATTCAGATCCTTTCCTGCCACTCTGCCCAGACTGGCTAATTACCCTCCTCTCCCTAAGTCGGTTCCCTTGGCCCCACAGGAACTGGCCTGCGTTTGACATCTTTATAGAACAGTCTCTTCATACATCAGGCTGATGTTTGGGTTCCATCACCTGCTTTGTATGTGAGTGATAAGAGAGGCTCGCCATGTCCTTTGACAACCAAAGATTCTCATACCTCCCCTCCTCTAAATATTACAAGGTGGCATTTTCCACCTTGCATTTTCCAACACTATTTCTTCATTCAAGTGCAGGACAAGGATTTGAGCAAAATCCAGATGTGGGGGATGCCTGGGTGGCTCAGTCGGTTAATCATCTGCCTTCGGCTCAGGTCATGATCCCAGGGTCCTGGGATGGAGCCCCACATTGGGCTCCTTGCTCAGTGGGGAGCCTGCTTCTGCAGCTCTGAAGCTCCATTTTGTCCATCAGGATCTGTGAGCATTATTCTGCCCCGCCCCCCCTTCTCTGCCTCGTTCCTTTTCATCCAGCTCAGGAGTCACCCTTCCCAGGGGTCCTGTCTCACTCCTTCTCACCCCCAAACACTCCATTCTTGTTAAAGATTCTTCTGAGTTCCCATGGCCCTCAGATTTAAGGCAGACAACCCAAAGCAGCACAGCTCAGAGGTCAAAGAAACAAGGGGTACCATCAGCAGATGGAAGTCAAATCCTCCACCCCTCACTAGCTGTGTGACTTTGGGCCAGTTACGTAACCCCTCTGGGCCTGTCCCCTCATCTGCAAAATGGGAAAACTAGAGAATCCATTTCCTAGGAGAAGCATTCCCCGAGATGATACATGTAAGTGAGTGGTGAGCAATGATGAACGATGCCTGGAGAATTATGAGCACTCAATATGCAGCACCATGATCACATGAGAGCCAACTTGTGTGGGCTTTAGAACAGGGCCTGGCGGCAAATAATATAGTAGTAGTAGTAGTATTGTCAGCATTTCTCGCACTGCCCTTGATAAATTGCCAGTGTTTGCGTCAACAGAGGAAAGGGTGTGTCATTTGCTCTCTGAATCTCATACAACAGGCACCTAATAAACGGCTGTTGAATGACCAAATGAAGCAACAGACTCTGTTGGGCTCTACAGGGCATGAAAGTAAACTCAAAAGCCACTCCCCTGTGCAGAAGGCACATCCAGGCTGGTCTGAAGACTCCAAGGCAAGGGCCCGCCCACTTCCTCTGCAAAGGGCCGGATAGTAAATTTTTGAGGCTGCGTGGGTCACACGCTCTCTATTGCAACCATTGAACTCTGCTCTTGTAGTGGGAAAGCAGGCATGGACAATTGGGTAAATGAATGGGCATGGCTGTCTTCCAATAATATTTTATTCATGGGCACTAAAATTTGAACTTCATAGTATTTTCACAAGTCACAAAAGGTCATTCTTTTGATTTTTTTTTTCCCACAACCATTTAAAAATGAAAAGAAAGAAAGAAAGAAAGAAAATGGACTAAGCCTGGGTGGCTTAGTCAGTTAAAGGTGGGGGATTCTTGATTGCAGCTCAGGTCCTGATCTCAGGGTCCTGAGATCAAGCACTGCTTGGGGCTCTGTGCTCAGCACCGAGTCTGCTTGTCCCTCCACATCCCCCCCCCCCCACTTGTGCACTCTCTCTCTCTCTCAAATAAATAAATAAATAAATAAATAAATAAAAATGGAAAAATAATTCTTAGATCGCTAGCCGTTCAAAAGTAACGAGCAGGTTCGATCTCCCGCTTCGCCCAGGCTGAGAGAGCTCCCCGGAAACGTGGCCTCGCACTGGGCCAGGCAGGGCGGGCGGGGCCTGGGAAGCATCGTGATGCCCCACAGTTGGGAAGGGAAAGCTCGGACTGGTCCACTCCTTTCGGCATTTAGCCAATCAAATCAGCGCGGCGCTGCCTCTTAGCCCCGCCTCGCGCCAGCGTCCGCGTTACGCGGAGAGTGTGCCACGCCCCCTTGTGCGCCCAGCACTCACTTCCGGGCACTGGCACGGCGTGACGTCAGGAGGAGGGCAGGTAAGTACGCGCGGGCGGAGGGGCGGTCAGGCACGGTGAGGGCCCTGGGTCTGGTCGTTGCTTCACCCGATCTCGGAGCCGCCCGATGGGGGACGAGCGCGCTGGGGGCCGCGGGGCTCTGCGGTTGTGGGCCCATGTCCGGAGCCGGCTACGGTCCCAGCCGCGACCCCCGACTGAAATCCCCGGGCCCGGCCGCGACTTCAGCCCCAGCCCCGGGCCATACTATGCCTGAAGGGCCCTTAGGTTTTCTTCTCTGAAAAAGGGGACCAGTGAGCGCCTACCTCACTGGGTTATGGTGAAGATTTTGATGCTTGTAAAACGGTTTGGCATGAGAAATAATCGAAGGTACCAACATACAACTCTGCATCAGGCGCTGGACTAAGTACTTCAACTCACTGAGTTTTGACAGCGGCCCTATCAGGTTGATACTTTTATAAACCCTCTTTATAGATGAGAGAACTGAAGCTCAGAGAGAAATGCTTTGCCAAAAGTCGAAACGCTAGCAAGCAGAGTCGGGATCCAAGCACTATGCCCTAAGCCAGTGGGGTTTATAATTACTCCTGACACCAAGAACTAGAGATTTCTATACATTCATCCTGTAGCCCCACCTGTGCCAGTCACTGTGGTGGTAAAACCCCTGTGAGAGCCCCAGCTCCTGAAAATGGGGTACCCTGCAAACATTTCCCAGTGTCTTATTCACAGCAACCCCAGAAAGTCCTGTCACCATCATAGACTCTTTACAGGTGAGGAAATAGAAGTTCAGAGATGCTCAGACACTGGCTGAGGTCACCCAGTTAGGAAGGAGTGGAGCTGGGATGCAGGCGCAGGGAACTGTGCCCCAAAGCCTGAGTGAGCGCTTAGCTGTTTTGTTGGCAAAAGCATTTTTAGGTTGGAAGTGACCTTGGGAAAATCTGGTCCAGGGACACACTTTACAGATGGAGGATCTGAGGTGAATGGATGTTCAGGGTCGTGGCAGAACAGTGTACATCTGGAACTTTGCACCCCAGCTTTGCCTCTGATCCTGGGAAGTTTCTTAAGCCCCCATGTCCTCATTCATCAACTAGGGATAAGAGTGACATAAAACAGACGAAACGAGGCAGTGATGTCGGAGTCGGTACAGCGCCTGGCATGCAGTAACTGGTAGACAGTACACAGCTAAGTTGGCAGAAACAATTAGATACTTCCTGACTCTAGCACAGGGAGCCAACAAACTACACCCACAGGCCAAAACCAGGCCACTGCCTGGTTCTGTACAGGCTGACAGCTAAGAATGGTTTTGACTTCATAGGTAGTTGGGAAAAATCAAAAGGAAGTATATTTTGTGACAGGTAACAACCATGTGAAATTCAAAATTCAGTGTCCATAAATAAAGTTTTGATGAAATGCAGCTGACACCTATTTACATATTGTCGGCAGCCTCTTTCTAGCTATGACGGCAGAGTTGAGTCATTGGGACAGAGGCAGTTGGGTCCGCATAGTCAGAAATACTTACTATCTGGTCCTTGATAGAGAAAATTCGCCAGTCTCCATTCTAGAATACGCTTCAGTCCCTCGTAGCATCTCTCTTTGGTGTCAAGTAGAACTTCCTTTTATTTGACCTAAAAGTCTCTCCTGCAGGGCGCCTGGGTGGCTCAGTTGGTTAAGCGACTGCCTTCAGCTCAGGTCATGATCCTGGAGTCCCGGGATCGAGTCCCGCATCGGGCTCCCTGCTCAGCGGGGAGTCTGCTTCTCCCTCTGACCCTCCTCCCTCTCATGCTCTCTGTCTCTCATTCTCTCTCTCTCAAATAAATAAATAAAATCTTTAAAAAAATAAATAAATAAAAGTCTCTCCTGCAAACATACAGGAGGAGGGAGGTCGCCCACCCCCAGCTTAAGGAGCCGTGTGTCTGATACCCATCACCTGTGCTAATTCTTAGGGGAGTGGTTCACACAGTCAGCATTTATCAGGGGCTAGGCACTGTCCCACGTGCTGGAGTTATAGCACAGTGTGACCTGGCGGAGGAGACAGACGGTAGACGAGTAAACCGCCACAGAGCCATGTGATAGGAACCCCAGGGAAGAAGCAACTTTAGATCAGGTAGTCAGATGAGGCCTCTGACAGAGATGATGTTTGAGCTGAGGCCTGTGACAGAGAACAGACAGCTGGTGGAAGAGCATTCAAGGCAGTTGGCCTGCACCTGCTGAGGCTTTGAAGGCAGCCAGGGAGCCAGCATGACAGGAACAGAGTGAGGGAGAGGGAGAGGGGTAAGAGGCACGCTTGGAGAGGCAGGCAGGGGCCCCACAGGCTATGGGAAGGGGTCGGACTTGATTCTCCAACCGATGGCCATCACTGGAGGGGTTTAAGCAGGAGAATTTATATTTTAAGATCTCTTTCTGGTCCCTGTGGGGAAAACAGACTGGGGCAGTCAAGAGCAGAGCCAGAAGACCGGGGAGGAGGCAGCTGCGCTGGTCCAAGTAAGCGATGATGGAGGCCACAGAAGGATGAGAAGTGTCAGGTGTGAAATATATCTTGGATGGAGAGTGAACAGGACACTATCTTTCTAAACAGACAAACACCGCTCTTTGGAGGATCGTCTAAGCTACCGACATCACACACAGCCCACAGCATCTTCTCCGGGAAGCCGTGGCCCCTCCACCAGACTCCCCGGGAGGGCAGGACTGGGCAGGGGGTTGACACTGCACAATCCGTGTCTCATCTTTTCAGATCAGCCGTGTTGAGGGCGAGGACCAGTAGGCAGCTGCCAAGATGGTGAGTGGACAGCCTTGTGCTCATTGGGTTTCTCTTCTGGTCTTCGTCAGGCCCCCAAAGTAGCTCTTTCCCTCCCTGTCCCCAAGCTATAAGGTGGTATTTCCAAACTCTGGATCGTGATCTTTTTGGTGCAGTGGGTCTCAAACTTTGCCATGCACTAAAATCATCCAGGCAGCTTTTTTCTTTTCTTTTTTCTTTTGATTTTGTTTTTTAAGGAGGTGAAATTCCTTAACTGTTGTAGAGTGTATGACTTAGTGGTATTTAGTATTTTCATAGTGTGGTACAGCCACCACCTTTATCTAGTTCCAAAGCGTTTCCCTCTCCCCAAAAAGGAAATCCTGTCCCCATGAGCAGTCACTCCCCAGCCCCCCTCCCCCAGCCCCCGGCAGCCACCAGCCTGCTTCCTGTCTACATGGACTCGTCCATTTGGGACATTCCCTGTAAGTGGAATCATACAATATGTGGCCTTTCGTGTGTGGCTTCTTTCACCGAACCTAATGTTTTTGAGGTTCATCCATATTGCAGCAGGAATCAGAACTTCATTCCATGTTATGGCTGAGTAATATTCCCCCATCTGAATCGGCCACATTCTTCATATCCGTTCATCCACCGATGAACATTTGAGTTGTTTCCACCGTTTGGCTGTTGTAACTAGTGCTGCTGTGGGCATGCGTGCACAAGGATTTGTTCAAACACCCGTTTTGGAAGATGCCTTTTAAAAGCCCCATGTCCCGGCACCACACCCCAGAGCAGACCCGGTCAGGAGAACTTCTAGGGGTGGGGGCCAGGCATCGGTATTTTAGAAACTCCTCAGGAGGATGTAATGTTCAGCCAGGTTTGAGACCCACTGCTTTGGTGGGTGATGAGGTCAGTTTACTGGGGGGCTGCCAGCATTTAAAAGCAAGACCCTCCCAGCCGGGGTAAGTGTTCTTTCACAAAACCCGCACCGGGCTTCGCTCTATTACATGTGCGTGTGCTCGGTGGTAGTGTTAAATGTGGCTTTGCTGTCGGTCATGGTCCCCAAAACACTGAACGCCCTTACCTTAGGAGAGTCTGGTTCTCGTGGAGTTTTCCTCAGTGATGATGGTGGTTCGCCAGTTCCCAAGTCACAGTCTCCATTCAGAGCCCAGGGCTTCTCTAGGATGTCCCTCAGGCTCCCTCGTCCGGGTCCTGCCCCTCGAGGCTGCACGACGAGGTCTCCTCCAGGACACCCTCTCTGAGTCACGTCTCTCTTCTGCTTCCCAGGGTGAAAGGAAAGGTGTAAACAAGTACTACCCTCCGGATTTCAATCCTGAAAAGGTAAGGGCAGGTTCCCTTCCCCGTGTCCACACTAGCAAAGAGACTCCATAGCAGGGGCCGCAGAGCACATCATCCGCCCCTGGGGTCAGAGCCGTGGCTGCAGAGCGTGGGTGGCCTCTAAGGGCTCGCTGCCGTGCACTTGTCACATGGGGCTCAGGACAGTCTTTGTTCCCAGTGGTAAATGTGGCTGTGTCATCATTGACCTTTTACTCCGGGCCCAGCTTGGCGTGTTTGCAGCGAAGGTCAGGAGGAGGTCCAGCACACGTGCTCTGTGTCAGACCCCCTCGCTCTCCCAGGTCCACCTCCTCTGGCTTCCTCTTTGTTCCCTCGGCTGTTCCCTCTGCCTGGAATCCCTTCTGACCACAGGTTCCTTCCCTCCCTTCAGGTCTCTCCCCACAGAGGGCCTGCCTGACCACCATCTCGTCCTCTATAGCATCACCTAGTGCCTTATTTCTCTTTGTAGCCCTTATAACTCCCTGATGCACTATCATTTCATTTGGATATCGTCCCTCTCCCCCTCTAGAACATCTGCCTAAGGGCAGAGATGTCCATCCATCTCATTCACAGCTGTGGTCCCACACTGTAGGCACTGTGTAAGGGCCTGGGGACAAATTGTCCCGGCTATGTGATCCCAGGCACGTGACTGGGCTCGCTGTGCCAGTTTCCCCATATGTCAAAAGGGGGAACTAAAAATCAGCCCAACGTCACAGGATCCTTAAGGGGTTAAAACGAGATGACGCAGGGCACCTGGCTGGCTCAGTCCATAGAGCTGTGACTCTTTGATCTCGGGGTCGTGAGTTTGAGCCCCCTATTGGGCAGAGATGACTTAAAAATAAAATCTTAAAGTAACCTTTAAAAAAAAATAGACAAAGGAAAAAAACAGAGTGAGGCCCGTGAAGTGCCCAGTAAGCGCTGACCAGAGCTGTCCCTTCACCTCAGCGTCCCCACAACACCAGAGGCAATTACAGTCACCGTCCCCAGTCGACAGATGGGGGAAACAGAGGCTCGGCAGGCAAAAGGCAACCTCACTGCCCCGGGTCACGTGGCTCTTTCAACTCCTAAATGGAAGAGCAAAGATTCAAACTCACGTATTCCTGCTTCCAACCCCACTTGCTTCCCCAAGGCCTCAGTGCCTCGCGGTTTGCTGTTGGCACTTGCCACAGGGCGCGAGCAGGCGGCCTCTCAGCCGGGGAGAGCCGGCATGGCTGTGCTGATCCGCTCCCTTGTCCCCCCCACAGCATGGCTCCCTGAACCAGTACCACAGCAGCCACCCGCTGCGGGAGCGGGCTCGGAAGCTGTCCCAGGGCATCCTCATCATCAGGTAAGGCCCCAACACCACCTGCGGACCCCTGCGTTTTGCGCCACCTGGCATCGGGCTCTGGGAGAATTCAGCGCCCCTGATTTTGTCCAGTGTCGCAGGGTCTTAATTCCAGAAAGCGGGAAGTCGCTCTATCCATCAGCTATGGCCGTGTAACCAAATGATAAACACGCAGCGTGTGTTGCTCACAATTGTGCAGCTCAGCTGGACGCCTCTGTTGGCCTTGCCTGGACTTGGCTGACTCGGGCTGGGCTCTCTTACCTGTTCAGGGGTCGCCTGCCTGGCGACTGGCTGGGCCGGCACGACTGGGCTCTGCTCCACATGTGTCTCATCCTCTGGTTGGCTAGCCTGGGCTGGTTCACATGGCAGCGCCCGGGTTCCAGAAGGGAGCGAGCACAGGCATGCAACGACTCTTGAGGCCAAGCCCCGGAGCAGGCACGCCGTCCCTTCCAGCTCAGTGATTGCCCAAAGCCAGTCGTGTTGCAGGGGGTGGGGGCGTGGTAATTCATCCACCTCTTGACAGGAAGCATTGCGGAGTCACACTGCAAAGGGCACAGATATGGGGGGGATAAAGAATCCCAGCCGTGACCACCATCGAGCCAGGACAGTGACCCTTCCTGCAGGGCTCTCCTTTGGTGTGTGGCCCGCTCCCCAGTGGCCCAGCCACGCCAGGAAGCAGAAGCCAGCCTGTGGTGCCTTGAAGGACGAGCCCTTGTCTGCTTCGTGGACCTGGACCTCCGTCCCTGTGTGCAGCCTGGGCCTGAGCGGAGGATCCAACGACAATCATGAGAGGCGGGAATGTCGATGGAAGAAGAATCAAGATCCGAGCGCCAGCAGTGACCTCGGGAGGCACGGAGCTGAAGGGCGCCCCGGAACAGCCCCCGCACCTCCAGCCCCAGAGCCCGCCATGCTCAGCCGCCACGGGCCTGTGCACGCCACCTGCTCCCACTCTTGTCTGTGGGGCCCTCCGCTCGTACCACAGGGTCTTTACTTCACCTCATTATTCATCACTTCGTGGTATTTTAAAATGGAAGCTCTGTCACTCCTGCACACGGACGGCCAGATCAGTGTCGCAAATAGAACCGTGGAAAGAAATCCAGGGACCGTACAGCAACCCAGCTAAGCTCTGGTCGGGCCACTGCTCCACTCAGCTCACTTCCTCCTCTGCTCCAGTTGGTTTAGCTGACAGGGTGAGGCATGAAGACAGGGCCACACCGGCAGAGACTCACCCGGACGGGGTGAGCCCGCGGGAGAGCAGGATGACAGGACCGGCCTGGCTGTAGGAACGCCCACCGCTCTCTGTCCTCCCCACGCCACGGGCTGTGGCAGGAGGCACGGGCGCGCAGACCCCGGCAGGGCCCAAGCAGACAGGTGCCGATCAGCCATTTTCTGTTTGCGTAGGTTTGAGATGCCCTATAACATCTGGTGTGATGGCTGCAAGAACCACATCGGCATGGGTGAGCTTCGCCTGCCCTTCCGCTCCTCACCCCACCCCCGACCGTTCAGCCCTGCAGACGGCGAGCCCCTTCCCCACCGGGCCGTGAGAGACCATCTCCACCAGGGGCCCCTGATCAGGAATTGGAGAGGAGATAGGCATCCCAGTGACTGGTGGGTTGTGGAGAGCAGTGAGGAGGCCCGGCTTTGCCACTTCCTAGCTCGGGGACTCTCAGTGGGTGACTTAGTCTCTGTGTGCCTCGGTTTACCCAGCCATAAATTCAGATGGTATGAGCGCCCCACCTGTGTGGCATACGAACTATGTAGCACACAGCACACATGAGGGCTCATAAACTCAAACTGCCACTGCCCTTGCTGTGACCTTTAGCGTTTGGACCCCTGTCCATGCCACAGATGGACGGACAGACAGACATGGGCCCGTGGGCCCATGGGCAGCTCTGAGACCGCAGGCCAGTGACTTGACCCACCTGGCTTCCGTTTCCAACTCTGTGATACAGGGACCCTCAGCTCTTCATGCAGCGCCTAGCCCAGGACAGCAGGTCGCTCTGTAAATAGGAGTGGTGGTGCTTGGTACGAGGGTCCAGCCCTCTCACAGGGACCATGGAAGAGCAGAAGGAGGGGCTGGGCCACCCCACTGCTGAGGAGGATGAGTGACACTCTCTCCTCGCCAGTAGGTCCCCCTGATCAGACCCAGCCAGGGGCATCTGCAGCGAAGTCCACCAGATGCTCAGGGGACAGAAACAGGGTGCAGCCTGACACCAGAGGCAGGCCACCCTCAGGGCCATGAACCGAAGCAGCCACCAGGAAAGGAAAACTCAGGCCACACCACCCACCAGCCCAAGCTCTATTTTTGTAGTTTAAGCTGTTTTCACCCAGCGAGCAATATTAAGCAGATCAAGAGTATATATCATCTAATCAGTGAAAAAACAAAAAACACAAGACGTTAATAATAAAAGCCAACCCTTCTTGAGCACCTGCCACGTCCCAGGCTTTATGCTAAGTGATCTGTGAGTACTATTAGTTCCTGTGATTCTCACAACAGCGCTGCGTGGTAGCCGTTATAGTCTTCCCTATTGAACAGATGGGGAAACTGAGGCCCAGAGGGCCAAAGTAGCTGGCCTAGGGTCGCCTAGCTGGAATGTGGTAGAGTCTGGATTTGAACCTGGACCCTCCTGCTGGCCACCCACCCTCCTCTGCGGCTTGAGCACCTGTCATGGAGCCTGGACATGGCTCTTTCCCACCTTGAATTTTAGGGCCCTCCAGGGGTGTCTCTGGAGGAATACCACCCCTTTCTGCCCCCCACCCAGGGAAAAGATGCTGAGCCTCCATTCTCTCCCTCTCCTCCCAGGTGTTCGCTACAATGCAGAAAAGAAGAAGGTTGGCAATTACTACACAACCCCAATCTACAGGTACAGGCGGCCTGGTTGGTGTCTCAGAGGGATGCATCAGATAGCTGCAGGGCGAGGGGGGCTCCAGAGGAGTCCCGAGTAGAAGATCAGCCATTCCGTGATGGCCATTTCCTGCGGTCCTTTCCTGGAAACTGTCCCAGTCTGTCAATCAGGGCACATCCCCTCTGCCTAGAACCCTCCATGGCTCCCACCTTTCTCAGAGTAAAAGCCTGAGCCCTCCCCATGGCCCACAAGGCCTTGCACACTCGGCCTGGTCCCCTCCCTAGCCTCACCTCCCCCCACTCTCCCCCTCAAGGTCCCTCACACAGCCCAGAAAGACCCCCTCCTTGGGTTTCTGCTCCAACACCGCCTCTGAGAGAGGCCTTTTCCAAAGCAGCGCTCACCACCTGACACTGGTTGCTCGTGCATTTGCTGCCAGTGTGGCCCCTGCTGGAATGTCAGTCCCTCCAAGAGCAGGCTGGCATCCTTCACATGGCATCCGTCTCCAGCTTCTGCTTCTGTGTCCCCAGCAGCTGCCGCCTAGCCTGCCACAGAGCAGCCTGACTCGGGAGGGTTTGTTGAATACGTGAGTGAAAAATGAACAAACACCAGACAGCAAGTCAGTTCTGGGCTGATAGGACAGTGTGTCTCACCCACGGCCCTAACCCCAGATGCAGAGCTTGGTGTGTAGTAGGTGCTCAGTGAATACTTGTCGCGTGACGCGCACGAACAGAAGGAAGCAGACAGGGGTGACGGGTGGCCTGACTTCCGCCCTCTGCCCACCCAGGTTCCGGATGAAATGTCACCTCTGTGTCAACTACATCGAGATGCAGACGGACCCGGCCAACTGTGACTACGTGATTGTGAGCGGCGCCCAGCGCAAGGAGGAGCGCTGGGACATGGTGGACAATGAGCAGGTGCTGACGACAGGTGAGCACAGGGCGTGGGCCCCAAGGCCAGCCGTGAGGCCGAGCGGGAGCCTGAAGGCCCTGCCGCCTTCTGGCTATTACAGAGCACGAGAAGAAGCAGAAGCTGGAGACGGATGCCATGTTCCGCCTGGAGCACGGCGAGGCTGACCAGAGCACACTCAAGAAGGCCCTCCCCACCCTGAGCCACATCCAGGAGGCCCAGAGCGCCTGGAAGGATGACTTCGCGCTCAACAGCATGCTGCGGAAGAGGTTCCGGGTGAGTGGGGGCGCCTGCCTGGGGTCGGGACCACAAGGGAGCGGGGGGTTGCCGACTTTGGAAGGGGAAGAATGCAGGGGCAGCCCTCGCCACACCACATCCTAGCTCTGAGCCTCAGTTTCCCCATGTCACCGCGTCCCTACCTCAGGGCACCCATGGGGAGCCCCGGCTTGCAGCGCACTTACCTACTGCTCAGCTCATAACACACATTTCATGGATCCACTCACCTATCCCAAAACGAAGTCCATAGATTGTCAGCCCACCCCTACGTAATTGCCAGAATCAACTCTGCAGTGCCCTGTGGTTAAAAAAAAAAAAAATTTTTTTAAGGGAAAGTCACCTACAATGAAATGTAATCGTGCATTTTTCAGTATACGAATGTTTGGCCAAGACCCCTGCCCTGGCGTGGAGAGTCGCTGAGGGTACAGGGGCAAACGCCAACTCCTGTCCCCAGGGACACAGTCCTGGCTCGAGGACACCCCGGGGCCCTGCTGTCAGTGACCACGATGGCTTCTGAAGTTGTACCAAAGATACTGGGTGGTGCCACGTCACAGGGAGTCAGGCCCAGGGTCAGATGGGTGTACCATGAATGGATTTTTCACCCTCTCGGGCATCTGGCGGGGCACCGGAAAATCCTGCAGGACGTGAGAACCTTCCCTCTTCCCTCACTCTGTGAGGCGCCTTGTGCCCCTCCAGGCAGTCAGGAGCTTCCCCAGCAACCCCCATAGAGCGCAGACTGTCACCATCCTACAGCTCCTGTCCCTTCCTGCTTCCTTTGCTGATTGTTCTGTGGTCATTATTAAAAGTAAGACTGCTAGTTTTCTTACTAATTATTTGTTATCAAAAACATATGCTTCCAGCCGGGCCTGTGCCCTGAGCTATGTGTCCCCTGCCTTCTGGGCGTCTCCCCATGAGGTGTATAAGGACCCTCAAACATACAAGCCCCCATCCGGCCCTAAGCCACCCACCTGCATCTTCCCCTTCTCGGCAATGGAGGCATCTCTGTCCTTCCAGGGGCTCAGGCCCCAAAACCTGGAGTTGACCTTGACTCCCCCTCGCCCCTGTTTCCTGTTGGCAAATTTTTCAGGGTCTGACCACTCCCACAGCCCCCATCATCTCCTGCCTGGACCAGCACAGTCTCTCAGCCCTGGTCTCCAGGCGCTCACCCCCACACCCCACCCCCACACACAATCTGTTCCCCACATGGCCACCAGGAGGCACCTGTGAATACCTGAGTCCCTCCCCATGGCCCACAACCCGAATGATCTCACCTCCCCCCTCCTTACTGTCTCCACCTTCTCAATCACTTCATTCCAGCCACACTGGCCTCCTTGCTGTTCCTCAACCACTCCAAGCACACCTCTGCTTCTGGGCGTTTGCACAGGCTGTTCCTTCTACCTTGGAACACTTTTCCACCAGATATGCACTTAACTCCTTCATTCAGACATCTTTTCTCAAATGTGACCTTCTCGGGGAGACCTTGCCTGACCCTTCCCTCCGTCCTGCACCACATTTACAGTTGAACCCCTCACTCCCTACCTCCTTCCCAGCATTCTTTTTCTCCTCGCCACTTTCTCTTTCTCACCCACTAGAGTGTCAGCCGCGTGAGGCCAAGGGTTTGTGTCTGCTCACTGCTGCATCCCCAGTGCCTAGAACAAGGCCTGGTACAAGCTGGCCGTTCTGTGAATATTCATGGGATGGATGAGCAGAGGACTGAACAGTGCGCGTATTAATGACGCTTGCATCTTGCACTTGCTGAGTGACTTCTGCATCCTGGGCCCTGTGGGAGGCCCTTTCCTCGAATGAGCTTGAAGAGGAGGAAGCTGAGCAGAGGGACACAGCCCAGGTCAGCGGGCAAGGAAGAGGCAGGTCTTTGACACCCACCATACCTTTCCCTCTCCCCGTCCCCCGCCACACAGGAAAAGAAAAAAGCCATGCAGGAAGAAGAAGAGAGGGACCAGGCGCTGCAGGCTAAGGCGAGCCTGGCCATCCCACTGGTGCCCGAGACAGAGGACGACCGCAGGCTGGCCGCCCTGCTCAAGTTCCACACCCTGGACTGTGCGTGGGGAGCCAGCAGGCGGGGGCGGGGGGTGGGTACTGGGCAGCAGAGATGGGGGTCCCCGGTCATGAGTGGGCCGTGGCAGGCCAAGGCAGGGGGCAGCTTTGGACCTCCTTCCCTCTCTTCCCTCCCAACCCCCAGCCTACGAGGACAAGCAGAAACTCAAGCGGACAGAGATCATCAGCCGCTCCTGGTTCCCCTCCACCCCAGGACCCGCCACCAGCAGCAGCAAAGCCGGCAGCGTCCTGAAGAAACTGGCCCAGAACCGCAGATCAGCACTCGTCTGCTCTCCCATCACTGTAGGAGACCTGGGCATTGTGCGACGGCGGTCCCGGGAGGTCTCAGAGAGCCCCCAGCACGCAGCGGAGACCCCCAAGCCTGGGGAAACATGGGTGCCAGAGGGGAACACCCAGGACGGGCCCACATGCCCCCAAGACTGCTCTCCAGAGACAGCCGAGACCCTCAAGAGCAGGGGGCCTCGGGGGCAGGAAGGGAAGTGTCAGGACAGGCCCCAGTCCCCACCAGGCTCCTCTCAGGAGGCAGCCACCCCCCAGGACGTGCCACACCCGTGCACCCTCAGCTCCTCTCTTGTGGCTGATTACTCCGACTCCGAGAGCGAGTGAGCACTTCTGGGGACCGCACCTGCTCCAGAGGCTGCGACGGGCCCAGGAGGCCCCTCAGACTGCAGCCCTGCTTGCCCACCAGCCCTTGGAGAGCTCAGACGCTGCCCCTCCCCAGACCTCGCCTTCCCGCAGCAGGGAAGATATTTATTTGGTCCTGGAGAGGGTGTTTGTGCCTTGTGGGACAACATCCCAACATTAAAGCGCTGCTTCTTTGTCCCTGCCTCAAGTTGCTAGATGAGCCCAGGGCTGTCTCCCCCACCCCCACCCACCTGAGCTTCGGGGACTCTCATCAGCCACTGTGATGCTGCTGCCGCAGCTGTGGCCCCAGCCATGATCCCCACCCGTCCTGTTGAGGGTTTCAAGGTGGAGGCTCCGGTTGGTCTGCAATCCGAGCCGACTTCCCAGAGGAGGCAGCACAGGCTGAGGGTGAAGGGTGGAAAGGGAACCAGACCGCAGTAACCCCACAGGGAAGGCTGGGGGTTGGGAACATAGGTGGTGCCGGAAGCACCTGGGCCTGGAGTATGCAAGTGTGGGGTTTTCATTATCCCCAGCCTGTGGGGATGCCTTGGAAGGTCATGAACGAGCTCCCCTTCCCCTTCCCTACCATGATGCATCTTTTGAAGGGAACTGGCAAACTGAGCAGAAAAGGGCTCAGAAACAGCAGGGCATCCACCCAGAGATGCTACCTGCCCCCTCCCCCGAAACCGTGGAAAAGGAAGATCATTTAACAAGTATTGATGGGGTATTTGCGGTGTGCCAGGCACTAACCTAGGCCCTGGGGATACAGTGGTGAACCAGACACACGGCCCTCGTGGGGCTGAGGTTCTGGCCAACTTCTTATTTGCGCCTGTCCCTCGGGGGAGATGGTAGCCCCAATGGCTGTCCCCAGCTCACCAGCCTTTGCTCTCTGCCGGGATGGGAAGGTTTCGGGGCAACGGTAAGACCCCTTAGTCCTTGGAATCCCCCCCGATTCGGGCCTTTCTCTCCTTGAGACCACCTTCAGCACTCGCTCTGGCCAAAGTCAGGCGCCTAAGGGTGACTTGGGGGATCACGCTATGAGGCCCTAATTCTCGCCGGCTAAACACAAGGCCTAGAATCCAGTAGTTGCCCCATAAACGGTGCCATCGGTGGTTTCCAGGAGGCGACTAACTGCCCAGACTTAACCGGGAAAAGTAAGGTGGGATTAGTCGCGGGTCCTGCGGGTTTGCTGTGCGCATGCGCCTCCTTGGGGGAGGGGCGCGCCGGTCCCGCCCCCTCCTCGCGTTCCGGGCGCGTCCCGCGTGCTGGGGTCGCCCCGACTGCTTCCTGAGTGGCCGTGAGCGAGGCGGTGACACCATGTCCCTGGAGGCGATCCGCTACTCTCGGGGCTCGCTGGAGATCCTCGACCAGCTGCTCCTGCCCCAGCACAGTCGCTACGAGGCAGTGGGCTCGGTGCGCCAGGCCTGGGAGGCTATCCGCGCCATGAAGGTGGGGCCACGCGGCGGAGCGGCGGGGCCGGGGTGGGAGTGGGGGCGCCCCCGCCTGACCCCAGGATCCCCCCCTCCAGGTGCGCGGCGCCCCGGCCATCGCGCTCGTGGGCTGCCTCAGCCTCGCCGTGGAGCTGCAGGCGGGCGCGGGGGGACCGGGACTCGCCGCGCTGGTGGCCTTCGTGCGCGACGCGCTGAGCTTCCTGGTCACCGCCCGGCCCACCGCCGTCAACATGGCCCGCGCTGCCCGCCACCTGGCCGAGACCGCAGCCCTGGAGGCTGAGCGCGAGGGCGCCACGGAGGCGGCGGTCCGGGAGAGGTAGGGGGACCTTGTGCCAGGCACTGCTCTATGTGGAAGCTATTAACTCATTTTTTCGCAGAGCGACCCGTTTTACATATAGCGAAACTGAGGCAGGCACGGCACATCAGTCCAAGGCCACACGAGCAGGACTAAGAGTCCACCCCGGGCAGCTGGGTCCCAAGGTTCTTGCACTCAGCCCCTTCACTCTGCCTCCCCAGAACATGCCCAGCCCCATCTGCCTTAGAGGTCCTTTTCCGAGCCACTGCATTCTCCTGGTTTTTGCTTTTGAGGAATTTTGTTTCCTGTCCTGATCCCCACCGTGCCCTTTTGTTTTTCCACTCTCCTCTGCTGCACCTATGTGGTTACCTTCCGAGTTCCTTGACCCCACCAAGCTTACTCCTGTCTCAGGGCCTTTGCATATGCTATCTCTGCAGGCGGCTATCCACAGAGCTAACTCTCCAGCAGGCTTCAGATTTCTGCCTTCCCCAACGCCTCATGTAACACAGTTCATCTCCTGTGCTCTGTCCCCTGATTCGGCTGCCTTCTCCTTCACTTCATTAACTGCTCACCACCTGCTTTCCCCACTCTACTGTGAGCTCCACAGGGGCAGAGATTGTTGTCCTGTTCATTGCTGTGCTCTCCCACACATATGAGGTAAACGTGTTGTGTGAGCAACATACATGTGTGGTGTGACAGGTGACAATAACAGAAGGGTGTAGGCCCCACAGCCTGGAGGGGCTTTGAGCAAGAGGGCTCCTGCACAGGAGTGTTGGCCAGGGAAGAGGGGCCAGCCGGGGCACCAAGGCCTGGTGGCTGGTGCTGAGAGCCTCTTGTTGGCCCCAGAGTGATCCGCTGCGCTGAGGACATGCTGGAGAAAGACCTCAAGGACAATCGGAGCATTGGGGACCTAGGAGCCCACCACATCCTGGAGCGGGCAGCTCCTGGGGGCGGCAAGGTGACCGTGCTGACCCACTGTAACACTGGTGCGCTGGCCACTGCTGGCTATGGGACAGCTCTGGGTGAGTGGGCATCCATGGGAATGGGGAAGGGGCCTTTTTGGATGCTAGAGAAAGAAACCCTAACCACTTTACCCACCAAAAAGATGTGAATTTATTCTGGTACACAAGTGCTTAGGGTGTTAGCTTCAGGCATGGCTGGATCCGGGGGTCAAATAGTGGCATCAGGATCCATCTGTCCCCGTTCCTAAATTCTGCCCTCCACAGCGGCATCATTCTCTGCTCCACAGGTCAGCAGGGAGGCTGCTAGGGTTCAGATCATGAAGAGCCAAAAGTCTCTAAGCTGACAGTGCCAGAAAAGTCTCCTCGTATCTCAGGGGCTTTGATGGGGTCACTGGCCTATCCAGGATCAATCAGTGGGTCCAGCACAAGCCGTGTGCCTAGAGAACGCGCAGGATGCGAACTCCAAGAGGACTGAGAAGGGGGGGCTCCCCAAAAGAAAGATTGGGATTTCCTCTGACCAAGAGATTTGACTACCTGCCTGGGCCCTGCCTTTGTGCCTGGGGACTGAGGCCTTGATGGCAAGACACCGATTTATTCACTAAACAAACACCGATTAAGAACCAAAGTGCCCCGGGGCGCCTGGGTGGCTCAGTTGGGTAAGCGACTGCCTTCGGCTCAGGTCATGATCCTGGAGTCCCGGGATCGAGTCCCGCGTCGGGCTCCCTGCTCGGCAGGGAGTCTGCTTCTCCCTCTGACCCTCCTCCCTCTCATGCTCTCTGTCTCTCATTCTCTCTGTCTCAAGTAAATAAATAAAATCTTTAAAAAAAAAAAAAAAAAGAACCAGAGTGCCCCACCATTCCTGCATACATGCATTCCTTTATTCACTCAGCACTTAACTAAGCACCTATTGTGTGCCAGGCACAGTTCTGGACACTGGGGACCCACCAGTGAACACAGTAGACAAAATCTCTGCCCCAAGGATTAGGAAAGTAGGAGAAACAAACACAACCAATCACTAAATATGTGTGCTGTGTTCAAAGGTGGTAAGTACTAAAGAGAAAGCCGGGAAGGGGTCAGAGGTGTGGGGTTTGCTGGGTGAGATCGAGGGATCAGGGAAGGCCTCACCGAGAAGATGTTCTCTGAGCACCCATGTACCCGGCAGAGGGGACAGCCACTGCAAGGGCCTGGGGATGGGACTGTGCCTGGTGAGGCTTTGGTGAGCTGTGCTTCTATTTTTTTTTAATATTTTATTTATTTGGGGGCACCTGGGTGGCTCAGTCATTAAGGGTCTGCCTTCAGCTCAGGTCATGATCCCAGGGTCCTGGGATCGAGCCCCACATTGGGCTCCCTGCTCAGCGGGAAGCCTGCTTCTCCCTCTCCCACTCCCCCTGCTTGTGTTCCCTCTCTCTCTCTCTGTCAAATAAATAAATAAATAAAAATCTTTAATATTTTATTTGTTTGAGAGAGAGAGAGAGAGAGCAGTGGGGGAGAGGGAGAGAGAATCCCAAGCAGGCTCCACGCCCAGCACAGAGCCCGACACAGGGCTCGACCCCACAACCCTGAGATCACAACCTGAGCCGAAATCAAGGGACAGACACTCAACCAACTGAGCCGCCCAGGCGCCCCTGAGCTGTGCTTCTCAACGAGCCACCCTGCCTATGTGTCGCTTTCCGTCTCATCCTGACATCCTGGTGGCCGGGCCCCACAGGTGTGATCCGCTCACTGCACACCCTGGGCCGTCTGGATCATGCCTTCTGCACGGAGACCCGACCCTACAACCAGGGAGCCCGGCTGACCGCCTTCGAGCTGGTGTACGAGCAGATCCCCGCCACCCTCATCACGGACAGCATGGCGGCAGCTGCCATGGCCCACCGGGGCGTGTCAGGTGCGCGGGCGCGGCGCCAGGGGCCGGAGCTCTGGGCGTCCAGGGCCAGGTTATGACCCCAGCATCTTGCTCCCCAGCTGTCGTCGTGGGAGCCGACCGCGTGGTTGCCAACGGTGACACGGCCAACAAGGTGGGCACCTACCAGCTGGCCATCGCTGCCAAGCACCACGGCATCCCCTTCTACGTGGCTGCACCCAGCTCCTCGTGTGACCTACGTCTGGAGACGGGCAGGGAGATCGTCATCGAGGAGCGCCCAGGGCAGGAACTGACCGATGTCAAGGGGATCAGGATTGCAGCCCCCGGTAAGCTGTCCCCTTAGAGGGATCACCACAGCGCCTGGGCACCCCCCTTTAGGCACCGTGGCCCCTTCATGGGGGCCGGTGGATTTCGGGTAGAATCATCCTTCTGGGGCATAAGCAGCTCTTTCCAGCCATTTCTTGGAACAGAAGCACCTTGAAGGTCAGATTCAAGGTCAGAGTGTACAACGAATGAGTTAGGAGACTTAGGGCAAGTTGTCCTGCTATTCTCCACCTGGGTTTCCTCCCTTGAAGAAGAAATGAGAATACTGCCTTGCCTAGTGCCTAGGAGAGACACTGATGTTCTCGGCTTCCCCACGCCGCCTGGCTGCCATGCGCAAGATATCTGCATTCTCTCGTCCCCCAGGGCCCCAGTGTTCACATCTGTAAGATGAGCGCTTGCTACGGCCCAGCTCACAAACCCCAGGGTTGTCAGTGAATTCACCCACATGACGTGGAGGACGGTGCCTGACCCTTGCTTAGCGCTCATTAGATGGTAACAATTATGGTTGAAATCTTTTATGAAAAGGACCAGTTAAGATCCCTAAGTGCCGAAAATACTGTGGGGCTGCTCCCCCAGAGTCCAAGTATGGAGCTAAGGTAAAAATCACACTATACAGCTAAGCAGAGGGAAGTCCCAACATTCTGTTGCTTTGTGCTCCAATTCCTTACAGCGTTTTAAAAATAGATACAATTAATTCTCTAAATTTTTTTTCCTTCATTTTGTTTTTGGTGCCCCTGCTTTCCTGGAGGCATAATGAGCACTGGCCAAAATCACTGAGCAGAGAAAACTGAGGCCACCAGTTTGCAGCCTCTCGTGTAAAAGGTTGTTAACGCTCAGCAAATATTTTTGAGTACCTGGCCGATTCTCGGTGCTGTGCTAGGGGGCACAGGGGACACAGGAGTGAAAAAGATGTAAACGCCCCTGCACTCGCGGAGCTGACAATCCAGTGGGAGAGATCGACAACAAACAAGATAAATAACAAAACCACAGTGTATGTTAGAAGCGGGTGCGAGCGCAGGAGAAATAAACAAGGCAAGGACAGGCGTGGGAAGTGTCGTTGCGGGGAGATTTAGACACAGTGATTGGAGAAATCCTCGCCGGGAAGGTGACATTTGAGCAAAGACCTGAAGGAAATGAAACAGTGAGTCATGTGACTACTGGAGGCAGAGGGGACTGCCCGTGCAAAGGCTCTGAGGTGGGTTCTTAGAGCTTCTTACAGAGACCCTTGCAGCCGGCAAAAGTGGGGTAGATGTCTATAAGACTTCTAAGCCTTCTTGGACAATGACAGCCCAGGAATGGGGGGTGGGGGTCTAAACTAGTTACTGGGTGCTAAAGCCCCATGTAATGCCTTCATGCACTTACAGAGTGAGCATCCCCAGATTGTCAAGGATTCCCCAACTCATGAACCACCATGGGGGAGACAGGTGACAAGGGCTTGAGAACTTTCAGAGCCAAATACCTGCCTTCTTGCCTCCCCTTTCTCTCCTGCAGGCATTGGGGTTTGGAATCCTGCCTTTGATGTCACCCCCCACGAGCTCATCACTGGCGGTATCATCACAGAGCTGGGGGTCTTTGCCCCTGAGGAGCTCCGGGCAGCCCTAAACACCACCGTCTCCTGAGGGTAGGGACCCTAGATGGACCCCAGAAGTAACCAACCTGACTCTCCATAGTCTGCCCCCATTCCCTTAGGTTTTATAATAAACTTAATGAATGGCTTGCCCCCAAACTGACCTTCTTCCCCCAACCACCCTTCTTCCTAGAGTAGGGAGAGCACACAGGGCCTTTGCATGGCTCTTAAGAGCCCTATAACTGGAGCCAGTCTGCCCAAGTTCGAAACCCAGCTCAGCCCCTTTCTCTACAGTGTGGTCCTGGCCAAGTCACTTCGCCTTTCCATGCTTTGGTGTTCTCATTTATAAAATGGGGACAATACGGGCACTGCCCTCTTAGGTTGCTTCAGGGCTAGAACTAGGGCAGGGCCTGGGGTACAGAATTTTAGAGGGGACACCAAAAGGCTCAGTAATCAAGATAAATAAATAATAGCTTCATGAATTATTTTTTATTTTTTCTAGAGAAAGAAAATGAGAGCGCAAGTTAGGGGTCGGAGCAGAGAGAGAGAGAGAGAGAGAATCCCAAGCAGAATCCATGCTCAGCATGGAGCCCAACACGGGCCTCAGTCCCATGACCCTGAGATCATGACCTGAGCTGAAATCAGGAGTCGGACACTTAACCAACTGAGCCACCCAGGCACCTCCGATTTTTTTAAGTAATCTCTACACCCAAAAATGTGGCTCAAACTCACAACCCCAAGATCAAGAGTCACATGCTCCACTGACTGAGGCAGGCAGGCACCCCTAAAATTCTTTTTTTTTTTTAAAGATTTTATTTATTTGAGGGAGAGAGAGAGAGAGAGAGAGTGAAAGAGAGGGCACAAGAGGGGGTAGGGTCAGAGGAAGAAGCAGACTCCCCACTGAGCAGGGAGCCTGGATGCCGGGACTCCGGGATCATGACCCGAGCGGAAGGCAGCCGCCCAACGAACTGAGCCACCCAGGCGCCCCCTTCTTTTTTTTTTTTTTAAAGATTTTATTTATTTGAGAGAGTGAGAGAGAACATGATGGGGAGAGGGTCAGAGGGAGAAGCAGACTCCCTGCTGAGCAGGGAGCCCAATGCGGGACTCGATCCCAGGACTCCGGGATCACCACCCTAGCCGAAGTCAGTTGCTTAACCAACTGAGCCACCCAGGCGCCCTAAAATTTTATTTTTAAATGTTGAGGATACTATTTATATTGATACTGAATTTTAGACACCCTTAAAGTGTGCACCACTGAGTGCCTCAGTCACCTCACCCTAGACTAAATTTCATGTACAAAGGGCATAAAACTAAGTTTTACAAAACAAACGAGCCCTCAGTAAATGTTATCTTACCATACAACCTTTACTTGGAAGTTTTTGCGAAGGTTTGCGTAAGATCTGCCTTTATGGGCGCCTGTCTCTTTAATGCTTTGCCACGTTGTGTCCCGTGAGCCTTTGCGCCCTGCGGCCCCCGCTGTATCCCGTCGCGCCCTGCGCCTTCCGGCTGCAATTGCTTTCAACCCCGCCTTTTCCGGCGCATGCCAGATCATGGCGCAGGGGCAGCGCAAGTTCCAGGCACGGAAGCCGGGGAAGAGCAAAGCGGCGGCAGCGGCCTCAGAGCGGAACCGGGGCCCGAGGAAGGGTGGTGAGGAGCTGTCAGGGGTCTGGGGGGCGAGGAGGGCCTGGAGCTCCCCGGCCTCATGTTAGCGCGTCTCTTCCCAGGTCGTGTGATCGCCCCCAAGAAGTCGCGCATCGTGCAGCAGCGAAAGCTCAAGAAGGTGAGTGGGGGCGTGCGAGCAGCGAGGGAAGGAGCCTGGAGGCCCGTGAGGGGCGGAGGATGGTGCCTGGACCCGGTGGGGGAGCCTGGACAACGCAGATCTCTTGAGTCTCAGTTTCGACCCCTGTGCCATGGGTAGCGGAACATCACATACCACACTCAGCGGGCCTCGAAGGAGCAAGGCCTGACGCGCAGAAAGTGTTAAACGCACGTTAGCTGCTCTCGCTGTTACCGTTCTTTAATAGAAGTGGGAAGGGGAGGTGGCGTGGCAAAGTAGAAACCCGAGCTTTGCAGAAAGGCAGTGCTGCGTGCGGTCGCAGCTCCCAGCAGCTAGTATTTCTTCACCCTGAGTCTTTTAACCTGTAAAATGGTCATAGTAATAGCACCTTTCTCCCAGGGTTGTAAGGATTTAATGCCATGGGGCACTTGTAAAGCGCTGAGAACAGCACAGGACACAAGTGAACGTTAGCTGCGTTGGTTGTCATTTTTGTGGTTGTGTTTAAATGTAGCTTCTTTATATAGGTGGGTAGGGCTGAGTTTACAGAGAAGTTTAAAGAGATTTGAAACTGGTTTTACTGGAGTCAGATTTGAGTTCAAATTGTACTCCACACTAACTAATGCGTAATCTTGAGCAAATCGTTTCGTTTCCTCAGAGCCTCGGTTTTTGAGACCTGGGTACCCAGTGATCTGCCTACCTCCATCTGGCAGCGGGAGGCAGGCTGTCTCATGGGCATCTCAAACTCAGCATATCTAAAACCAAGCTTCTGATCCTCCCCTCAGCCTCCCAGACATAACCCTGCCACAGTCTTGATTCAGGAAAACTCTGTCCTTCCAGATACTTGGGATCATCTTTGATTCCCCCCTTCTCTCATATCTGGGTCAAGTCCCATCTTTTTTGCTTTTAGTATTAATCTAGAATCCACCCATTTCCCCCCTGCCTGGTCCCATCCCATCAGCTACCCCCTGGACCAGTGCAGGGACATCCTCCCTGATCTCCTGCCACTCTCCCCCTTGCTCACTGGCCCCTTAACTGTTCTTACCCCACCTCAGCATTTCACTGGCTGTTTCCTCTGCCCAGATTCTTCTCCCAGAAATCCACCCGGCTCCCTTTCTCAGAGTATAGTCTGACTGCAGGTGGTGCTCCTGAGTGGCTGTCCCCGATAACACGCATCCCTCACTCGTTTCATGTTCTTTCTTGGATAGCAGCACTTACCTTCACTTTAACCTAGTGGGTCATGGGCGTGTATGTCGTCTCCATACACACAGGTATGGCTGAGTGCCAGCTCTCAGAGGGCAGAGGTTTTTCTGTGTCTTGTTTGCTGTTGTGTCCCCTGCACCTAGGTATGTGACAGTCATGGTGGTCATGGTCCTTGGAACTCAGGCAGGACAGGGCGGTTTGGGAAATATGATTAAACTACCAGTTTTGGACCCAAACCCCTGTGCCTTTGCTTGCTCACATCTCTGTGTCTCGGAGCTCCAGTTCCACCATCTGCCAGGCGGAAATGACATGGGCCAGGAGGGGACTGCTGCCTGGAAGCTGAGACCAAACGCTCTGGGCGTGCAGGGTTCCAGTCTCCCATCCTTCACCTGTTTGGGGAAGCCTGGGCAAGTGCCTCTTCACTGCAGGAACCTGTTTCTTCATCTGTAAAATGGAGATGAGTAGAGGTGTAGAAGCTGAGGTCCAGAGATGAGAACGGGATTTTTTGTGTGTAACACCTCAAAGAGTGCAGGACAAGACTTAAACTCCAGACCCTCAGGTGCTGTTTCAGGGGGAGTTGCTCATCCAGCCTTCTGTGTGCTCTCACCAGAGAGAGGGCAACGGGTCAGGCGCCCCCCTCCCTCCACCTCAGGTCCCAGTCTCATTGCCCTGTGGTTGCTCCCGCTCAGGACCTGGAGGTCGGGATCCGGAAGAAGATTGAACACGACGTGGTAATGAAAGCCAGCAGCAGCCTGCCCAAGAAGCTGGCGCTGGTGAAGGTTCCTGCCGAGAAGGAGGCAGCCTCTTCCTCCTCTGCCAAGACACCTTCCTAAGGACACCAGCCCACTGGAGGCCATCGCCACAGCCTCCACAGGCAGCACCGCGAGAAGGAGCCGTGCTCCCCGCAGCCTTGGGTGGCATGCCCCTCAAATGGCCCTGGGGGCCTAGCCCATGAGTAGGTGATCAGCAGATCTGGAGTGCACTGGTCAGCTTCCCAGGGTGCCAAGGACTCCAGAAGGGAAGGAATGTTCACCGGCTTCCTGTGTCCCCCTCCTCCGGTCTTGTCTTCCCTGGTTTAACCCAGAGCAATAAACGTGACTGTGATTCCTCCTGCATTCCCATGCTCCTGTGAGTGGGTCAGTGCTGGGGCTGGGGACCAGGTATCCCAACTAGGTTAGTCCCAGCAGTTCCCACCAGAGACCAGCCATGTGCCCACGGAGGGACGAATGGGCTTCTGCACCTTCAGCCCAGGAGCTGGAGGAGAGTCTTTTCGCCCCTCTCGCCCTGGGTGACTCCCACCAACCCCCTCACTTGCCTGCATGCCCAGGTCACCACCTCTACTGGAGACAAGCCAGGCGTCTTTGGGAGCGACTCTCCCATCCATAGGACAGATGCTGACAGCACCTGGTGGGGTCTCAGTGCTAGTTCAACCAGAATGCACTTGGGAACTGCTCGGGGCCACCTTGATCGTGAAAGCCCTAACAGCTTGTATTTATGTAGCACCACCAGTGGTCCAGGCACCGTTCTAGCGCTTCCCTTGTGATGGCCTGTTTAGGTCACGTCGCCAACATTACCGAGCAGGGATTTGCACGGCCACCAGCAGGGTCCCCGCTCCCCGCTGACCAGCCGCTGTCTCCTCCAGACCGAGACCCTCTCCTGCTCCCTCCTGGGCCCCTCCGTCATTCCGTCACTCCTCGTTGGCAGTTGTGCCTGTGAAACAGCCAAGAATCTGACCGCCTTCCTGCCCTCCCCCTGCTGGGGGCTGGGGAGCAGGTCACGGCTCAGGAACAAGGCTGCAGTCGGGGTGATGCTGAGCTGCTGCCTGGGGTGAGGTGGCGGCACCCGTGGGTAAGGCAGCCACACCTGTGAGTGACTGGCCCCCAGCCAGCGAACCCACCGCAGTCGGCTTTTCTGGGTCCCACACAGTGGTGGTCAAAAATTTCTGAACTACTAAAATTTTTCTACAAGATAGGGGACAACCAGTGTGGAAAACAGTTCGGTGGCTCCTCAGTTCAGTTTAGCCTAGAATTACCGCCTGACCCAGCCATTCCACTCCGAGGCACATGCCGGAAAGGACTGAAAACAGGGACTCGACCAACAGCTCGTACGTGAACGTTCACAGCCACACTAGTTACGGTCCCCTAAAGATAGCAGCAACCCAGGTGGCCCCAGCAGACAGTGGGGAGCATGTGTGTCTGTACAAGGAGTGTGCTTCCACCGTAAAAAGGTACAAAGTGCCACATGCTACATGGATGCACCTCGAAAACATCCTGAGTGAAAGAAGTCGGCCACAAAAGGCCATGTGCTGTAGGATTCCATTGATGTGAAATGTCCAGAAAGCGCAAATCCACAGAGAACAGACCTTGATATGGGGGTCCATGGTTGACCGGGGGAGGGGGAGTTGCTAATGGATTCTGGGGTCATCTTTTGGAGTAAGAGTTTTGGAACTAGACAGACGTAGTGGCAAAACAGTGAAATGCCACTGAACTGTACGCTTTTTTTTTTTTAAGATGAATTTTAGCACAGGGGGGTGGGGCAGGGGGAGAGAGAATCCCAAGCAGACCCCCACCAAGCTTGGAGCCCCACTTGGGGCTCGAGCCCATGACCCTGAGATCATGACCTGAGCTGAAATCAAAAGTCAGACGCTCAACCGACTGAGCCACCCAGGCACCCCTGAACTTTATGTCTTTAAATGGTGGGTTTTATATGTGAGCAATTTCACACCAAAAAAAATCCGATTTATATCTTGAAAAATCAGAACTTGTGGCACCAGAGCCCAAATTCAATGGAAAGACTGGCTTGGGGTTTCCCCAGGCCCGATGCTCAGGTTTCAGCAGGGGCAGGGGTGGGGGAAGAGGGCGGGAGGACTGGAGGGTAGGGCTGCGTTCAGGGGTGTGATGCGCACGCGCCCTTCCTTGAGCCCCACTTGGGCAGCCCCGATGCCCATGCCATCTGCCCACAGCATAGCAATGTCTCCCCTAAGCAGGCAGCTAGTGGCTTCTGCCTTTTGAGATGGAGCCCCTTTGCCCACTGGGCATTTATTGTACGCCTGCCCCGTGCCAACCTCAGCTCGGGAGAGCTGAGAACTGGCATTGTAGTGGGGAAAACAGAAAAACCAAGAAAACCCGCCAAGGCTGCCCCCTCCAAACCCCCACCTCGTCTCTGTCCTGCCTCCTGCTGTGGTTCCCTCCCCCTCCCGGATGTCACCTCCAAGAGCCCTCCTCTGCCCTTCCGAACCTCCAGCCCCAGGAGTGGTCACTCGGCACTCGCTCTAGACTGGTCTTCTTTGCATCTTTGTTCACTGCTATGTCTCCAACACCTAGGACAGCGTGCAGGAGGCGCTTAATGAACAGGTGTTCATTGAATGAAGGAAGTAATGAATTGTTTCCCTTTTTTGCAAGGAAAATTTTGCATTTCAATGAATCAGTTTTGATTATTCAGGGCATCATCTCTATACAACACACCCTTCTGGGTTATCTGATTCATAGCATTGTCTTTCAACTCTCAGCTCTGTAAATTGTAAGCAACTGATAGCGATATAAAGCCACTTATCTGTAGACATGCAAATTCCATCCCGGCCAGCAGAGGTTTCGATGACAACCTCCTCCCCTATGGAAAAAAACAATTTGCCCCTATCTGCACGTTTATTTGCACAAATAGTCTGATAATGTAAAAGTGCCTGTTCTCCAGATTCTCTTTCAAGCCGCGTGTAACATCTGCCTGGTTCCCACGTGAGTTCAATAAAAACGTTAACACGTGTCCACCTTTAAGTATCTACGGGAATCATGATTTCTCTCTTCTGGAAATCATTTGTTAACCTTTTTCTGGAATCTCAGAAGAGCGAGGACTGGGACAGGGTGTCTGGAACCCAGGGCAACCCCACTGGGGCCGGCGGCGCCCAGGCGGGCCAGGGACTCCTGTAAACTGGCTCCTTTGTCCCTCTGACACCAGCCCTTTGGAGGAGGACCCCAGGGGCGAGGAAAGGCATTCAGGCGCAACAGGTATGAGGTCTGGAATGTCAACCCACTTGTTCCCCCTTGGCCCCATCCCCTCTGCCTCCCCAAAGAGCCTCACAGCCCGCATGACTTTTCCCTCTGCTTGTTCCTTCCACCTGCCCATAAAAGCCCACCAATGGTGCCGAAGCCAAGAGCCCCAGACTTTGGAAAATAACTACACCTTGAGTTCAGTGCCAGTTTCTGCCACTTCCTGGCTGTGTGATCTTCAGCAAGTCCTGTCCCCTCTCTGAGCCTCTGTTTGCCCATCTATTAAATGGGGATCCTAACACCCTTCTCTCAGTGTGGAGAATTCTGGAGCCTGAGGGCTGTAAGGGCTGCTTTTGTTCAAAGAGTGGAGCCCAAGACTAGCCACTCAGCCTGTCCTGTCTTGCCTGTCACACTGGCCCTCTCTGCAGGGCCAGGGCAGCCACTAAATATGGCTTTTGAGACACAATTATTCTTTCCCAAGCCTTTCCTCTCCTGCTTCCACCATTCCCCTCCACCTGAATGCCCAATTCTCCTGGCAGGGTCCTGCCGCTCAGCCCATGAACCTGTGTTCCAAAAGGGAAAAAAAACAAGTGACAGGAGTAAATCTTGCCAGTTGGGCAGGCCAGAGGGGCTGCATCAGAACCAGGAAGCGAAACTGCCTGGGCTGGTTTCCCGCCTGAGTCAGCAAGGGCAGGGGTTGTGCGGGGGGCGGGGCAACTGGCAGAAGACAGGGACCCTGGAAATTGGGGTGGGGTGGCCACAGAGCTGGGGGGCCCCTGTTCCCCTCCAACTGAGCCTCCAGGGCCACCCTATTTCCCATGGGTCTCAAGGACATGTGGGTTTGGGATCAGGAGCTGTGGATGCCTAGACAGTGAGCTCACAGAGGCCTGGCGGGGTAAGCGCGGCTTCCATCTCCCTGCAGCCCAAGCTCACTGGCTGCATGGAGAAGGCAGGACATGTGGATGGCTGCTCCCAACCTCTCCTAGGAGGAGAGCTGGCCGAGAGAGACTTCCAGGGGCCTTTCTGACCTCATAGATTCTCCGGAGATCACTGTATGGCCTTGGGCAACTTTCTGACCTTCTCCAGGCCTCATTCCCCTCATTCGTAAAATCGGGAAAATGGAATAGAATGTTGGTGCTTCCCAAACACTGTGCATTTGATTCCCAGCCAATGCGACAGAACCAGCCCACCCACAGGGCTTGAATGCTGGCCCTATCCTTTCCCTGCTGGGGGCCTCGAGCATGTCACCTGACCTTTCTATGCCTGTTTTTCACCCAGGAGATGGGGATGATGACAGTGTTAGTATCTATTGTTAGACAATAAACATCCTCACTCTGTGATAGCCCAGTCTCGGTTCCTCCTAGAGCAGTCAACCGACTAGAGCAGCCTTGAGTGACCTCAACATCTCGGGACACCCACTGAAGCATCCGCAGGGACCGGGACCCGGGCTTAGGGGATACAGCCACGCACCAGATGCTGAAGAGGACTGCTGGTAAGGGCGCCCCCGCGGTCCTGTTTGCAAGGGGAGCAGCTGACACATGGGCTTTGCTGAAGTCCTCCCTGCCTCTCCCCACGCCCCAGTGACTCCTTCCCCATCGGTCCATCTTTGCGTCCAATCCTTTGCAAGAAAGGCACGTGGCATAAGTCTAGGGCTTCCCAGTCTGGGTGACTTCAGGCAAGCACTTTGCTCTCCAAGCCTCAGTTTCCTCATCTGAGAAATGGAGCCTGTGATCCCCACTTTGCAGCACTGGTGGAAGGCTTCAGCGTTGATAATGCGTGGGAGCAGTGACTACACCATTGCCATTTTCCGCGTTCTTTCTGTTGTTGTCACTGTGGCAGGCTGTGTCTCAAGACCGCCGTTGTCCAACAGAAGTTACAATGCAAGTCATGTGTATAACTTTAAACATCCTGATACCACAGAAAATACAAACATAAACGGAAACAGGTGGCATTAATTAGAATAATGTGTTTTATTCACCCAAACTTACCTAAAATATTATCATTTCGACATGTAATCAATATAAAAATTTTTTTTCAATGTCAAAAATTCTTAATGAGATATTTTACCTTTTTTTATTCCCCAGCTAAGTCCTTGAAAATTACATTTACAGCATAACCCAATTCCGCCCAGCCCCATTTCAAGGACACAAAGGCCACTTGTGGTCAGTGGTGACCGTACTGGACAGCACAGGTTGGAGGGAGTTTCCTGAATGGTGAGCTGGGGACCCGCCAGAAAGTGCAGCTGGAAATTCCTGGAAGGAAAAAGCCCGAGTTTCCAGACGCGGTGGGGAGACTGGGGGCAGCAATCAGGCCACGTTAGGACCAACTTGGGCTGTTCCTGCTTTGTAGACGTTTCAGCGGAGTGGGAGCAGAGTATGAGTTGGTTCAGTCACTAAGTTACATATTGAGTGACCGCTGTATGCCGGGTGCTCTTCGTGTGCGGGCGCTCTGGCAATGCTCCGATTACACATACTACAGCCACTGGGGGTCTCCGTGGAGAGGGAAGAGACCGCAATTAAGCAACTGCTGAACTACATAAAGAAATGTAGTGATCCTGGAGAAAAGTATGGCTGAGAGGAAATGTAGAGTTTTCTAAGGACAGGGGGAGAGGAAGGACGGCGTGGGCCACGGGGCGGGAGGGGGGGCGGGGCCGGCGATCAAGACCACGGGCGGCTTCCGGGCAAGGGAGGCTGGCCTGGACAAAATGGGTCAGAAAAACAATCGGAGGTGATCGGATGTGACAAGTATTAGTTGAATCTTATGAAATTGCCATCATAGTAGGTCGAAAATCAGCAATTTCATATGACTCAACGTAATATTCAGGGCACAGAATGGATTGAGGGTTCTCAGCTTGGGGCATGGGTTGGGCCCTGTTGCTACAGAACAGGTCTGTAGCCCCCAAGAGCTCTACCGAGGGGCCTGTGATCCCCGCCACGCCCCCAAACATCAGAACTTGACTCCGCGCACAGAGAGGCTGAGAGAGTTTCTCGCCTCACACAGCCCAGAGGGAGGAGGGGCTGAGCTGCTGCCTTGGAATCCCGCCGCTCAGTCTCGCTCCCCGGCCGAGCCCTGTTGATTGTCCCCTTGCGGAGCCCGGAAGCGACCCTCAGTAAACAAAGCCGTGTGTGGGCGCAGCCCCAGCTGCCCGGGGCGCGCTGTCCAGCCGGAGGGGGGCGGGAGAGGAATGTTGTGAATGAACTCAGAGCCCTCCCCGAAACTCCGCATAAGGCCTGCGCCGCGGGGGTCCTCCCACTGTTATTGGTCGCCGGCGCCCCATGATTGACAGCACGGCCCGATAAGCGCTCTGATTGGGCTTCCGCGCAAGGACAGGCAGCATATCCAGCGAGTGAACGACGAGAATTTGGGACGAGTCTGGCGGTGTAGCCAATAGCGGAGGACATTCTCGGAGGCCGAGGGGGGTCCAATGGGGACGGGCGGTGGGGGCGGGACGACGGCGGAGGATAAAGCGGCGACTGAGGCAGCTTCATTGTTGTGAAGAGTCTTAAAGGGGCCGCATCACCCGGCCGGCCCGGCGCCGGGCGGGGGTGGGTGCGGCTGGGGTCCCGGGGCGGCCGAGCGCGGAAGACGAACTGGAAAGCGGGTAGGGGGCGCGGGAGCAGGTGACGCAAAGCGGGCATCGGACTGACCCCCCAACAGGCCCCGCCCCGGCCCCGGCCCGGCCGATGGACCCCCCAGTGGCCAAGCGGAGCCGGGGCTGCCCCGCGGGACCAGAGGAGCGCGATGCCGGGGCCGGGGCCGTGCGCGGCCGGGGCCGGCCCGAGGCGCTGCTGGACCTCAGTGCCAAGCGAGTAGCCGAGACCTGGGCCTTCGAGCAGGTGACGAGGGGTGGAGGGGAGGGACGCACTCCCAACCCCTTCTCCGACTTGCCTTTTCCTCCCCTGCCCAACCCCCAGCCTCCGGACCTGCCCGCGTACGAGACATCCCCAGAGATCCTCTCCAGGATCCTTAAGTCCGCCCCGAAACACCCTCTCATCCTCCCATTTCACTCCTTCAAGCCCTGTGACCCACCCCCATTCCTCCTGCCATCCCTGCCCTCCATCCCACAAGACACAGGGATGCCCTCAGCGCCCTAGATCCTAGCTCAGGACACTTCCTTCTTCTCCTGCCCCGGGGTCCTCGCACAACCCTGGCTACCCTCTTTTCCCACCTCATCCTCAGCTCCCAATTAAGGCACCCCATTCAATCCTCACTCCTCTTTCCAACTCCTACAAGCCACCCCCACTTGGGGGACACCCCCATCTTATCCCCTAGAGACTCCAGATCTCTGCCCCACACCCCCAGTAAAGAACTCCCCCATTTCTACAGACTCCAGCCTCAAGATACTCCTTTCTGTCCCCAATCCATGCCTCCAGAATCCACCTGTCCCCTGGGGAACCCCCCTCCTCCTCCAGAACCTTCCCTGGAGTCCTGCTCCCCTCCCTCAGTACTTTCGGGACCACCTCACACCTGGGGCTGCCCAACCCCTCCAGTGTTAGGGTACCCTCCTACATTCCTCCTATTTTCCCAATGCTCACCCTCCCTCTGTCCCCCAGCCATTCTAGTCCTTCCACAGGTCGGCAGCAAGGGCAAGGCTTGGGTCATAGTACAGGTACCCCTGGAATCCTACCTCTGTAGTTTCTGGGGGTTCTGCCACAATGCCTCAGGGCTGGGGTGGCTGGAGTCCCCTTTTCCAGCCTCAGAGTGTGCCCCTGGGGAGTGGAGATGTGGCCTGGCTCTGACCAAGCCTGCTGCAGTCCCCATAGGCTCTGTCCTCTCTCTGGCTTTGGGGGGTGTTCTTTGCTCCCTGGCCTCTCCAGAGTTAGGAAGCCTGCTGGGACCGATGAGTCTGGGCCAAGTGTGGATGGGGCAGGCTCTGATTCACGGCCTGGAAAATCCCTCCTTAGTCATCTGCCAACTGTCCCTGAGGCCTGAGCCAGGCACTGGTCCTCCCACTTCCCCCAGAAACCCAGCCCTGGGAGCTCTGGGAGGTCGCTGCCCCTTTATTGTGCGTGAGACACCCAGCATAATCCTGAAACCATCTCTCATGGTTCCCATGTACCCGCCCTGATCAGGCCTGGTGCTAGGAAAGCTCTTGGCCCTCAGAAGCTCCTGGAATCCTCTGCAGCCCTTTGGAGTTGTTGTTCTCCCTCCCACTTTGAGGAAACTGGAGCACAGAGAGGTTGAGAAACTTGCCCAAGGTCACTCAGCCAGTGAGTAGCAAGCCCAGATTGGAACATTGGTTCAACCGGCTTGGTTCACTGCCCAAATCCCACAGGGGTGGTGAGGACATCCCTCCCTTCCTGCAGGCCCTTGGAGGCTGAGAACGGAGGCTATCTTGGGAGTCCGAGCTTGCCAGCTGAGACTGAGCAAGTGAATTCAACCCATCTCTGAGCCTCAGACTATCCACGCTGCAAAATGCGGTGATAACTAGTATCACTGAGATGTTACTATGAAAATTATGGAAAATCACATACACAAAGCTTTTAACATAGTGTAGACTTAGAATATGGAGGCCTGATCACTATTCTTATCACTTTTGTCTCCCTTTCTCCTGCCCTTTCAAAGCCTGGGAGGTGAGACTGTGTTACGTCAGGACCTCAGACCTGACATCCAGGAGGGAAGTAGCAGAAAGTTCTAGAACACTGAGTACAGGCCAGGTGTTATTGCAAGCGCGATACTCAGGAGACAGGTGCTGTTAACATCCCCACCTCACACTTGAAAAAACAAGCTCAGAGAGGCAAAGTGACTTGCCCAGAGTCATACTGCTTGTAAGTGGCAAAGCCAGGATTCAAGCCGGGTTTCTAAGCCACCGCCCTTCCCACAGGTGGAAGAGCGGTTCTCCCGGGTGCCAGAGCCCGTCCAGAAGCGCATTGTGTTCTGGTCATTCCCACGCAGCGAACGGGAGATCTGTATGTATTCGTCCCTGGGCTACCAGCCCCCGGAGGGCGAGCATGATGCCCGGGTGCCCTTCACCCGCGGGCTGCACCTGCTGCAGAGCGGGGCCGTAGACCGAGTGCTGCAAGTGGGTGAGTGCTTGCCCCCATCTCTGCCAGGGAGGCCAGGAGGTCCAGTGCAGGTGTGGAGGAGAAGGGAGTAGAGGGGGGCCTGGGCCAAGGCGAGGGGAGGTTCCAGACCTCTGGCTTCAATGCCCAGAGAGGGTTTTACAAGATATTGTGAGCTTAGGATCAGAGATCTGCCTAGACCCCAGGCCGCAGGCTTAGACGGAGCTCGGGAGAAGGATGGTGATCCAGAAAGCAGGGGAGGGGAGGTCCCAGAATTTAGGTGGCAAGAGCCAGCTAAGGGTGGAGGACTGAGGCTATTTCTAGATCCTAGGTGGAGGGCCACTATGGGGGTTGGGTACGGGATTCTGAGCTAAAGGCAAGGGTGGTCCTAGAGTCCTCAGACAGCTTGACTGGTGGGCGGGAGTAGAGGTGGTGACGCTGGGAGGAGGGCTGAGGAGCAATTGGTAAACCAGAGTGAGAGGAGGTTTCAAACCTCAGGCGGAGGGACCCAGTGATGCTGTGGGGCCGAGGTTTCAAGCCTGAGGTAAGAAGTAGTCTTAGACCTCAGGCAGAGGGACTCAGGTGGAAGTTGGGATCAGATGTTTAGGAATGGTGTCACATCTAAGGCAAAGAGGCTTAGGTGGGAGCCTTGAGTAGAAGTTTAAGACTAGCTATGAGGGGTGGTCTTAGACCTCAGGCAGTGGGGTCCAGGTGAGGGAGGGTAGGGGGCAGAGGTTTGGAACTAGAGGTGAAAGAGGATTCTAGACCCCAGGGAGTAGGGCTCAGAAGGGGACAAGTAGAGGTTGAGCCAGAAAGCGAGTAAGCCCAGGAACAGTACACCTCCTAGCTGGAGGCAGGGGCTTGGCTAAGATGACCCTCCCTGAACCCTGTCAGCGTGGGGGCCCCCTTGCCTGGACATGGCCCAGCCCACCACAGGCTTGGCTATCTTCAGCCGGTATGAGGAAGCTGCCTTCTCTCTGCATGACGCAGTCAGGGCCAGATGGGGCCTGAGCTGCCCAACCAGTTGGATAAGCCTGGCATCTGGGCTCCCCAGGGGCCAGGGAGGGGTGATGGAGTGGCCTGGCCCCTCGCCTGCCACATCAGCCCCTCACCCCCAAGTGTCACAGGCCTTGGGCATCTTCCCAGGAAGTTACGGGACTCCTGGAGCCCAGGCCGTATTCACGGTAACCCAAGGGCTGAGAAAACCACCTTCAGCATCATCACTATGATATTCTTCAGAATTAGAACAGGAGCAAGCATTTGACTGTATGCCTACAGGGTTCTAAGCACTTACCAAATATTAGCTCATTAAATCCTTTTACAGACGCATGAGGAAGATGTCACTATCCGTTCCCATTGGACAGAGAGATTAAGTGGCTTGTGCGCTAGGTTACTCCATGGGATTTGCACTTGGGTCTTGCCGTGCACCATGGACGAGCACCCCCGTCCTGGGGTGACACAGCAGTGGCTGGCTTGGCTTTGGTCTTAGGGTTCCATCTGAGCGGAAACATCCGGGAGCTGGGGGGCCCCGGAGAGCCCGAGCGCCTTTACCACGTCTCGATCAGCTTTGACCGCTGCAAGATCACGTCTGTGAGCTGTGGTTGCGACAACCGTGACCTCTTCTACTGCGCCCACGTGGTGGCCCTGTCGCTGTACCGCATTCGGCATGCCCGCCAGGTGGAGCTGCGGCTGCCCATCTCCGAGACGCTGTCCCAGATGAACAGAGACCAGCTGCAGAAGTTCGTGCAGTACCTCATCAGCGCCCACCACACCGAGGTGCTGCCCACCGCCCAGCGCCTGGCTGACGAGATCCTCCTGCTGGGCTCCGAGATCAACCTGGTGCACGGTAAGGGCCCCCCGGGGACCTGATGGTGGCGGCATCCTCAGGTCCCCTTGATCCTTGAGTGGGGGTGGGGAGAGCGCCCTTGCCTGAAGTTGAGGTCACACACCTACTAAGTGGCAGATCCTGGATCTGACCTGGCCCCGGGCACGGGGAGCTTCAGCCCCAGGGTGTGGGTGCCCCAAGAGCACAGGAGCCGGCCTGAGTGTGGGTGGATAGAGGGCATGAAGGGTATGTGTGGCCCATGGGGGTGTCAGGGGTGGGGGATGGGTGGGGGATAGACCGGGAGCTCTTGGGAGGGTTGGAAGCTACAAGAGGATGGGGGAGGATGGAGGGTGGGGGCGATGGATGAGCGGTGGATAACTGAGGATGGCGATGGGTGGATGATGGGGTGTTGGGGTGACCTGCGGGTGTGGAAAAGCGGATGCGCTGAGCCCATGGATGGCCAAGTAGGACGGCAGGTGAACGCGGAGCTGGCGGGAGCTGGTGGACTCCGGTGGGAGGGGCTTTGATCGGGATCAACGTGGCCTGGCGGGGGTGGACAGAGGGGGCCAGAGGGAGATTGGAAACCCCAGCCTCACTGTCCCTCCCTCCCCGCAGGTGCCCCGGACCCCACGGCCGGCGCAGGCATCGAGGACGCCAACTGCTGGCACCTGGACGAGGAGCAGATCCAGGAGCAGGTGAAGCAGCTGCTGTCCAACGGCGGCTACTACGGCGCCAGCCGGCAGCTGCGCTCCATGTTCAGCAAGGTGCTGCGCGGGCACGGCGGGCACGGCGGGCACGCGGCGGCCCGGGACTCAAGGCCCTGGCGCCCCGCCCCCGCCTCACCACGCCGTCCCTGCCCCCATCCCGGCACAGGTGCGGGAGATGCTGCGGATGCGGGACTCCAACGGGGCGCGCATGCTGATCCTCATGACCGAGCAGTTCCTGCAGGACCCGCGCCTGGCCCTGTGGCGGCAGCAGGGCGCGGGCATGACCGACAAGTGCCGGCAGCTGTGGGACGAGCTGGGTAAGGCCTGGCCCGAGGCGCGTGGCGCGCAGCGGGGCGTCGGCGCCCGGCGGGCTCTGGCTGCCAGGTCGTGCTCACCCCGACATTAGCCTCCGGCCCCCGAATCCCTTCCGCGTTCGCTAGCACCTCCGATGCCCGAGGCACTGGGGGGGGGGGGGGCAGGAAACAAGGGATTGACCCCCTGCGCTCCGGAGCTGCGGAGCTGACACCTGGCGGCGGAGACGGACAAAAAATACTACAGACGCATTAGTCCTTTTCTGCAAGGGCCGGTAGTCAGTCCCTTTGACTCTGTGGGCCGTGGTCTCTGTCACAGCTTCTCTGGCGGCATTCCAACACAATCGTATTTAGAGACACTATTTATGGGAAGTTCATGTCATTTTCACAAGTCACAAAATATTCCTCTGATGTATTTTTCCCCAACCATTTAGAAATGGAAAAGTAAATCTTAGCTTGCAGGCCATTCAAAACCAGGTGGCGGGTTCAGTTTTATGCACCGGCAGTAGTCTGCTGACCCCTGTAATACAGGGTGGTAAGTGCTATAGGGGGAAAAAACAGCAAGAGGAGTCTGACAGCCTGGGGTCGAATCCTGCCTTCCCACTTCCCCAGCTGTGTGACCTTGAGCAACTGCTTTTGCCTCTCTGTGCTGTAATGTGAAGAGACTATCGGTTGCAACCTCGGAGACCCAAGATGAGGGGTAAACAGAGGCCAGTGCCCAGCACACAGTAGGCACTCCACACGTGTGTGCGGCTACTGTTGGCGTGAATGTCGAGCCTCCCTCATGCCCACATTCACTGGCCGCCCTCCGTCCCCAGGGGCCCTGTGGGTGTGTGTCGTCCTGAGCCCCCACTGCAAACCAGAGGAGCGGGTGAGCTGGCTCCAGCTGCTTGGCAAGTGGGACAAGCTGGACGTGTGCCCGCTGGAAGAGGGCAACTACTCTTTCGACGGGCCCAGCCTGCAGCCCACCGTGGCCCTCAGCCCAGGTAGGAGAGGGGCCCCCGGCCCTTGCCTGTCCTCCCCGCCAGGAGGGAGTGAGTGCCCAGGCCAGGGCGGCGGGCAGCTCGAGGTGCATGAAGGGAAAGGCTTAAGACGCCGGTAGTTCTGGGCTGGTCTCCCCACTCAGCCTCCTCCTGGCCATGGAGGTGGGGATGGGGTGGGGGGCACTGGGAGAAAAGGAAAAAGATATTTAGAAGAGAGAGGCAGAGATGGAGGGAGAGAGAGGAGAAAGAGGAATGGGGTATGGGGAGAGATGGAGGGAGAAAGAGAGGGATGAAGTCTGAGGAGGGGGCAGGATGGACAGACATATGGACAGTTATTCACTTTCCGTTGTCCTTTGACACGAAGGGCTGTAATAGCTCCCCCAGTGCGCGTGCACACACATGCACACACACATGCACACGCAGCACGCGCTCACGCATCTTTGGAAAGGCTATTTAAAGGATCTGGGCAGATGACACACCACCATCGCTGTGCCCAGGGCCTAGTCCCAAGCTGGCGCTCAGTCAGGGGAGTTGGCCTCAGCCCGAGCACTAGGGCCCCCTAACCAGGCCATGTGGGCGCCCCTCCCGCAGGCCCGGAGGAGGAGGAGGAAGAAGAGGAGGCGGCGGCCGCAGGTTCCCGCCACACCGTCTTCTGCCGTGCCCTCCAGGCCGGGTCGCTGCACTGGAGTGATGCCCACCTGCAGAGGATCCTGGCCAGCGACTCCTACGGCCCCAGCCTCACAGGCACCATGGGCAGTGAAAAGCCAACCTTTGACCCCCAGGGCCGCCCACTGTGGCTGGGCGAGCCCTTCCCCACCGCCTGCGCCCGCGTGGACACCCTGCGTGCCCATGGATACCCCCGCCAGGCCCTGCGGCTGGCAGGGGCCATCATCAACACACTCCGGCTACAGCGGCGGCATCAGCTCGAGAGCTACAAGCAGCAGAAAAAAGGTGGGTGCCACGACCGCCCTGCTCCCCTGGGCCGTAGGCACAGATGCCA